TGAATCTTCCGCGGCGTATGGTATTTTTTATCTGAAAAAATTTGAACTTTTGAGAAACAAAAAGTTGTACTGTTGTGATATGAAATTTAATTTTTCATTATCTCTTTTCTACTTTCCATTACAGATACTGTCTCCTTTGCTTGCGTTTCCATTTGGAACTATGTACATTAGCCGTTGCCTTATTTATGAATGCGGACACATAAGGAGGACCATTTGCGGGAAAAATGTCCATCTCGGTCCGTCTCGGGTAGTTTAGCCTTTAGGGCTCCCTGGGGCCCGGCGACCCCAGGCTATTATTCGACGCCCGAAGGGACTCGGGGCTTTTGCATATATCCTACTTTATACACGTCCTTACATTCTCTATTTTCTCGCCTACGTCGCGTCGGTCGAGACATTCGGGCCTAATGGATGGACTCTACTTTTATTTCCTATTATGTTTGAGGTATGGATGGTTTTCTTTTACAGTAACCTTATTTATTATCTGTAAAGTACAATTTTTCTATTATTTTCATTCACTAAGTCTGTAGGAATAATTTACAAAAAATGTGAAATTGATTTAAATGGGGACCAGGGAAGCAATGTTTGGTCTGTCTGTTCTCTTACAGAAATGTAGAGACCAACAAAAAGACGTATACATTTGTTTCATCGACTACGAAAAGACCTTTGATAAAGTAGAACACACTGTGCTGTTTAACATCTTGCAAGAAAAAAGTTTAGACAAGAACGATATCCAATACTTAAAAACACTATATTGGAATCAGACAGCATACATAAGGTTATAAAGCAAGACGAAACAGACGAAATACCAGTACAACGTGGAGTTCGTCAGGGATGTGGACTGTCTCCCTTATTGTTTAATATATACTCGGGATATATATTCGATAAGGCCCTACAAGATAAAGGCATTGGCATAAAAATAACTGGCGTCCCAATTAACAACCTTAGGTATGCAGACGACACCGCGATTATCGCTGACAACCCTGAGGCTCTTCAAGAACTTCTAGACGACATAGTTCGGGAAGGAGATCCATTGGTCCTTAAAATAAACACGGCGAAAACCAATATAATGATCGTTAGTAGGAGAAATATTTCACCATCCAACATACGAGTATACGGACAATGCGTAGACACGGTAAATAAGTTCAAATACCTGGGATCCTTGCTAACATCGGACCTTGATTCCGACTTAGAAATTACATCGCGTATAGAATAGGCTAGATCAATGTTTAACAAAATGAGAAACCTACTATGTAACCGATCACTCAACATCAACATACATCTGCGTTTCGTCCATTGTTATGTATACTCAATCCTCTTATACAATTGTGAGACATGGACGATTAAAATGAACACCATTGTTGGAAGCTTTTGAAATGTGAATCTACAGAAGACTCTTGAAAATACCCTGGACATATCATGTACGCAGTGACGAGGTTCTTGGGAGGCTTAACAAGGAAAGGGAATTACTTGCAAATATAAAAAAATGAAAGACAGCATACCTGGGCCATGTCATGCGCAATAGCAGAGCAAAGCTTCTGAAGTTGATTGTAGAAGGAAAGGTAAAAGGCAGAAGAGAACTTGGGAGACGCAAGCACTTTTGATTGAAAAACTTACGAGACTGGACTGGACTGAACTCACACGAACTGTTTCGAGCTGCACAGGACAGACAGTGTTTCGCCGCGATTGTTGCCAACCTTCATTATAAGATGGTACTATAAGAAGAAGAAGACTTTAGGCTCGATGCATTTCAGTTGATTTTAAAAATTCCGACCGCAGCGCTCGATACAGCAGAAATCAGAAGTTTTTGCTCTGTATTTCACGCAGTTCCGATGTTGATGGCATTGAAATAATATTAAAATCGTGGCTTAGACAGGGAAATTAAAATAACTTTCGTTGCACATCATAATACGACCAACAGCAAACTCCGTAAGACGACGCATGGTGTCATGGATGACGTGCAACGAAAGTTGTTTCAATTTCCTTATATTTAATTTTTTATTAAAGCTTCATTCAGAACCTCGCAATTAGTGGAATAAATTAGTGGTTTCAGTTACCCTTTATACTTTTTAGTGTACGATCATTCAAAATGTCTAAAAAACACAATTAAAATTAATAAAATATCCTAGCAACATCTTGCGATAATCAGTTGTATACATAGAGAAACTCCATTATTTAGCTTACAAAACAATAAACTTTTGATTTCTAACCAAATTTCTTCTTGGCGACGATGATCAAAGGCCAAAATGACATTCCTCGCAAGTTTTAAAGTATAGAGAGTGGAAAAGTGAAAAGTTTGTTAACTTTTTCCATTAATTGAAAATTCCTATCACTAATTTTGACGTTCTAAATGCTGACATTCAAATTAGAGGAACAAACTTCTACGCTAATTGAAACCATTAAGCTATTCCACTAATTGCGAGGTTCTGAATGAAGCTTAACACTTCAGTCCGCCTATATGTATTTAATTTCGTACTTCTAATATTTTTACTGTGAAAAATATTCCTTATTTCGGCTTTTCAAATTGTCATCTTGTATAATTCCGGAGAAAGTGACACACTCAAGAAAAATTACAAAGGTTATAAATATTTAAAAAAGGATTACATACTTAAATCTAGAATAGTAATATGTCGTAAATATTACTAATATCTGATAACGCGTTGCCAATAAATGCTCGAAAGGAGGGATTAGAATTCTGAATATTTAAGGCAAGATCAAAAGCGTCGACAAAAAAAATGTTTACAAATTCATATCGTTCGCATCTTATCTTAATTCCGTCAAAAACGCGGAAAAGTATACAATTTTAAATACTGCTAATTTGGTTATTAAGTTCTAATGATAATGATTCGCTAAAAATAATTATTACGCGTATGTATAAATGAGTTAGCCACTTAAATGTACACTTGCTAAAAATGTATTTAAATTGATATTCACAATTATTATCATATTCATAATTTAGAGTGTATACTTTCTTGTTCATGTGGCAACACACGGCCAAAGTTTGACACGGCGCCGGCGTTGAATATATTGACAACATGACAACTGACTAAACCAAATAAATTTAGGCTGTATTCCGTTGCAAAGCCAGGCGACTGGTAAACTAGGGTAAAAAGCGGTTCCTGAAAAACATCGGTTTGATACGGAACGGTTTGGTAAAATATTGGAAACGTCAAATGTTGACGTTTTTTAAATTTCAATACCTCCACAAAACATCCCCCTTTAGAAGTTCATCTGTCATGTTAAGAAATGAAAGTAAATAATAAAGCGCCTCTCGTGTTTGTTCGCACTCTAAAAATTTCAATTACCTAATGCTTGTATATATTTTTTAAATTTACATTTTTCTAATTGTAAAGTAATATATTGCATTTAAATGGAATATATTACATTACAATTATGTCAATTACAGGATTATAGGCTCGTTTTCTAACATTTTTTAAATAAAACGAATTTTTAAATTTCAATATATGTATATTTGTCGTAGGTATGAAAAAAGTAAAATATAAAATGGACAAACGCTTACTTACATTGCAATAAAACTTCCACTTTTAGTTTTGCAATCCAAATGCAATATTTCTATTTCACAAATAAAAATATCCGACAATACTAAAATCACTGAACCTTCCGCAGCTGACAACGAAAACTGAAAAATATAACGGCACTTTTTGTTTTGGACCTGCATATCAACATTACGCTCTACCATTATGAAAATATCTAATTATAACTTGTAAATATTTTAATATTTTAACATGATTTTAACTATTTCTGACAATAATTAACTTTTTGTTTTCAAGATTTTGATCAAGATGACATTTTACACGGCAACTGACATACATGTCATAATATTTGAATTTTAAATAGGTATGTAATATAATTTAAATTAATATAATGCAACTTTATACTAAGAAAACATTTTTATGCACTCACACAATACAACAAAGTCTAATAATATAGTTTGAAAGCAATGAATATTGAAATCAAATTACAAAAGTTAAGCGCGACCCCTTGTGTCAAAATTAAATGATTAAATTTTCGGAATTTTTGCACCATTTGGTGACCGGTGGCGCCTCTAGTGTTTGTTCGGGCGGTTGGTCTTTTACTCCCACTTATGGCCATTAAAGAAAAAGTTCTAAAGGGAGATGTTTTGTGAATTAATAATATTATAAAATTTATCTTTTATGCATTTTTAATGTACCTATTCTCTGCTTTTACGTTTGCTTCTTGTTTTCAATGGTGTTTAATATTGAAAAGTACTTTATTTAAAAACTGTTAAAATCTTCAAAAATTATAAAATCTTTCAAAATCTAAACCAATCTAAACCGCTCTCATTGAAAAAATTCCGAAAAGTGTTTAAATGCTATCTTGTGAGTTTAATTTAAGTTTTATTTACTCAAACCCGTAATAATTGTGAAAAAGTGGCATTAAAAACTTAAAAAGCTGTGCTGTGAACTGCAAAAACCATGGTGGATCGTGACATAACGTCGGTTTCCAATGTTTCATAGCTATTTCATGCATGTCCTTATATAAAATAAAGTTTCTTGTATGCAACACACTGTATTTTATTTATAAAATTAAAAGAAAATAATAATAAATTTGAATAAACAATATTATTTGACGATATAATTCCGGAAAAAGCCGAACCGATCCCAAATTATCAAAAGGTTTGAGTAGCGACCGTTGCAAGAATAGCGCCAAATAGTGTGTACATTGTCCTTATGGGCACTTTCCAATCTAAACTTGTTTCATTTATCTATACTGACTGATTCTAGCGGTTCTCAAAATGTTATTTCTTTTAAATTGAAAAAACTTCCAAATGTCTTGCAGCAAACCAAGAACAAGACATCGGGACCCTGCAAGGCGAAGACCAATGAAGTCTTGGTCTTGTATTTGCACACTAACATAAAATCATTTGTCAAGATAATAATATACAACCATATGTTTTCAACGAATCATTTCCAATACTTTTATGAGTTTCTTTTAAACTAATTTTATTTCTGTTGTTTCAGCTGAACCAAAGCATTTACTTACTAAGATAGATAAGCCCCCAACACCGTTATCCCATGATGGTAAGTTCACAAACCTTTTTTTGGCTTAAATAATAACACCTACTTACTGTTACCATTTTTAGAATTCCAATTAAATATAGTTTTAATAAACCTATTAAAAAATATACATATATTAAAAGCAAATAATTTAAAGAAAATTGAAATAAGATAACATTAAAATTATTTCATAGGTTACTTTCATATTTTATATGGAATATGTCAAAAATATTTTTTTCTTGCCGCTTTTATAAATGAAAAATATATTATAAAGTTTACAAATATATGCGAACAGTTAGTTTATTGCTAATACGAATTAATGTTATTTTATCTTGACACACATAGAGTTTAATAATAAATATTATTAGTATAATAATTTTTCCATAACTTAAGTAAATAAGATAATCCCACATAACAATTATCCCACTGACTCACTTATGTACAGTATGTCCCCAAGAGGAAAAACTTTTTTATGAAAACAAAACATCCTTTATAAAAATGTTTGCTTGTTTTAAAATGATTAATTCCGTTTGTACTTCAAATTTCCATACCGTTTTAGAGAAAATTAAAAACGATTCAGGGAAAATTTCGACAGACGATAAATTAGAATGATAGTCATGGACTCTTTAGTAGACGGATAATAAAATAGCAGCAAACCAAACCAAAAAATTGAACGTGCCAACAATATTTTAAGCAAAAATTGCGAATTCTCGTATAAAACATACTTATATTAGAGCTTTCTATAACAAAAAATACAACTGTTTTATAAATTCATTTATTCCAACCGCCTCAAATTATTCTTCGATAAAATTCTCACCTCCAAAAACAGCTAATCGCATTCTTGTTTACACCCAATCCAAAAGTGACCGAACAGCGGGCCAGCTCTCTGAGGGAGAGTCAAAATTCAAAACCGCCACGTCATTAAAAGAGATTGATGACGTCGTTTACCGCGTCTGTCCCCCTCCCCCTCCGATTCTTTTGCATTGTGAACGTTCCACTAAACCGGGTTTAACCCTAATCTGTATAGTAGTAGACCGCGTGCGCCAATGGTGATTTTTCTTAATCAAAAATCGAGCGTGCCACCCCTGCGATAATACGCGGCAGAATGAGAAGGGGTTAGGACCCCTTTGAGAGTGAAAAAAGAAGAATAGACGAGGCGCGCGCCATTTTGATAGCGAAGGGTGATGATTAAAATGGAATTTAAAAAGTTTAAAATAAATATTCTTCGGACAAAATATTCGTACGATCGATGTGGTTACACTGGAAGCGATGTTTTTTACAAAATATTAAAATTAAAAGACCTTGTTATAGAATATTAGGGTTTCTGGAACCGGAGCTGTTTTTTGGAACCGGGAATTTCGGTACCGCGCCTCTTAGGAACCGTTTTTTTCGGTACTGACTAATTTTTGTTCAATGGTGGGTGCAGTTCATCAATCAGAAAGCAAGGGATGGTTTTCCAAAATAAAATAGATAAAAACTTTTTTAAAAAAGATTTTTAATGCAAATAATATAAAACTATTAAGTAATCAGTCATCAAAAAATTAACATGAACACAAGTATAGGTAACTTAAATTTCAAACAACATAAACCAACTTAACTGAATTTGAGACAAAAGCCCTAAAATATTGAATTAAAAATGCAAATATCTATTAAAACATAACATAATAAATATTATAGGAATTTCGAAAGAAAAAAGAAGCAAGAACAATATGAAATAGCATCATTCTTATTTAGAAGAGTTTGATTTTGACCGCTATAAAGTATCAAAGGACTTTCTCGCGTAACAAAAAAATATTTTTTTCATTATTGTTACCGAGGCCCGGTTCGGTGATGGCCAAAAAGATCTGAACCCTAACTGGTAATATTAATTAGAGTTTCCAGAACCGTACTAAATTATTTTCGTTCAACGTTTGTGGAGTTGGTCAATTAGCAAGCAAAGTATGGTTCTCAAAAGTAAAACCGATAAAAAATTGAGTTTCAAACGAAAATAATATAAAATTATTAAGTCATGAGAAAGTAAACATGAACACAAATAATGAACACAAGCGAAAAAAAATGAAAACACATAGGTAGCTTAACAATTACATCAAACAACATCAAACAACCTCGAAACCAACTTAACTAAATTAGAAAAAAAGATAATTTCAATTTTCAATTAAAGATGCAAATGCCTATAAAAAAATAACAAAACAATATAACTATGTAATACATTCAGCAATATTATTCTAAATAATAAAATATCATACTTAAACTTCAATAATTGCTAATAAATAAACATTATAGAAAATTCAAAACAACTTCAGAAGTAAGAACAGTAAGAGATAGCTTATTTAGGAGAGTTTGATTTCGACCGCTTGAAAGTATCAAAGGACTTTCTCACGTAAAAAAATATGTTTTTAATTATTATTACCGAGTCCCGAAAGTACCAAAAGAACCGGGAATTAATAATTTCGAGTCTCAGTCTTTTGATGTCTCAAAAGAACCGGGAATTCCCGGTTTTTAGAAAAAAACTAGACACTAAACTAATGTGTAATTGGCAAGTTTCATCTAAAAACAAAAACAAAAACAAAAAACTGTTATGGGTTTTGCTTAAAGTAATTGTAATTTTAATAAGTGAAATTTGAATAGCAGTTTATTTGTTTTTCTTGTAACTTTTTTACTGGAAAACCTCTAAGCGTGTACAATAATGCGGAAAATATGTGCAGCAATTTTCCGGGCCAGTTTCCTTAAGCATGTTAAGTCTTGCATGGGCCTCGATAAAGCGAATAACGGACAGATAAGCCTCAAGTGAAAATTTCACACCATCTGAATTTTTACATTTAGGGGAGACCGGAGCACTCATGCAACAGTGATTTTTTCGCACCAAACTCCATCAAACTGACTAAATAGACCTAAAATGGACCAAAACGTGTTTGAAAAAAAACGTAGAAAAAACACCACATGTATGTAAAAATGTATTACACTCAGATGCAAAAAAACGCAACTATATAGTTATATTTGTGTTATTTTTAACCCTATATTAATGATTTTTTAGCAAACTATACACATGGCCAAAATTATTGCATATATCGTTTAAAAATATCCGGAAAGGAATTTAAAGAATCTTTTTTTATACATCGCTTTGACAATCTGTAATAAACATTTTTTTTGTTAAAATGGATATGGTAAACAATGTTTGTCGTTCAAACCCAATGCAAATTCTTGCATATTTTGATTTGTGGTCTCTTGGGTTTCAGAAGAAATTTGACCATTGTTTTGGACTTAAAATACCTAGAAACATTATTTCACAGTTTAATAGAGTCAGAATAGTCACTGTCTCTACAGGGCTATCGGTAAGTTGCAATAGCTGAAATTGTAGGAGTTAACCAAAGCGATGTTTCGCGAATATTAAAAAAAAACAGGGAGACAAACGAGGTTACAGACCGGACTGGAAGAGGTAGAGAGAGAGTTACTACTGCTGTGTAAGACCGTCAAATATCCCTAATTGCATGACGCAATCCCCTGTTTTCTAGTACTGCTATTAAATATGAGTTAGCTCGCCTTGAAGGAGTAAATATTTCAAGAAAGACCATAGCAAGAAGACTCCATGACAGAGTATTACATTTAAGGAGGCCTCTACGTGTTCCGAAGCTTAATTTACAGCACAAAATTACGCGACTACAATGAGCTGAGGAGATGAGAGCAAATTGACCTAATTGGAATTTCGTCATATTTAGTGATGAAACAAGAATAGGCCTAGTGTCAGACTCGCGACGAACTTTAGTCTCGAGATCATCTGGAAGACGAGCACGCTTGAATGCTGCTCAACACCGTGTCCCGTTTCAAGGAGGAAGCATTATGGTATGGGCAGGTATAATGCACGAAACTCGAACTCCACTTGTTTTTATTGAAGGCACAATGACAGGTGCCTCATATCTTATATTATATTCTAGCTTTATAATTTTATAATGTTTATTATAATTTTTATTAAAAAACGATAATTCTATGACCTATCCTACATCTACATATATCTCCGAATACTACTAACCAAAAATTTGTTTTGTGTGGCCTGTGGTCTGTTTTTATTTAAATGTTGTGTTTATTATTCATTATTTATATTAATTTACAGTGTAATTTTACTAAATTATACGAATATTCTCGTTGATTATTGGTTTGAAATAAATATGACAGAATTAGTATCAAATAATTTTAAAATGTATTTAAATTATTAATCTACATCACGTAATATAAATACGTCATAAAATGACGGTGAATTCTAAAGAAACCAGCCAAAGAAGATAAATAAAACCCTAAGTACCGCCTAACCCCTTTTAATAAAAAAGGTCGCACGTGCACGAGCTTGTCCCGACACGTGTCGGCCTCTTTTTAAATTATTAAACATGGGCGTTTATTGGATGTTGATTTCTTTGGGGCGGAGATATAGTTACAGCATGGTATCGTCTTTCCAAAATACTTATTCATAAGGACTACTAAAAGTAAGGACATAATAAGTTTCAACATAAATTTTATGTTTTTGTTTAAATTTTATATTTCAATCTAGAGTGCCATCGCTGTGTTAAAAACACTAATTTTTAATCAAGGAATCTTGGGAGAATAGATTTAATCGTTTAATGTTTTTCATGTCTTGTTCTTGATGGTCAAATCGTATTTTTAATCATATCTCAATTTTTTCAAATGGAACAAGGGTGGCTCATTAGCATATTAGGAAAAGGCATTTTTTTATGAATAATTTGATACCACACACTTCGTATTTCGAGTCAAATTGTCGTTATGAACCGCATGTTACAATTTCAAATAAACCGTACGCGAAAATATCACGCTGACATTTGTTATGTCATTCTATTCAGAGTGTCATTTTCTATCGAATAAAGTAAAAAAATACCGAGGGTGTCATTTAAAAATCTAAAGTTGTAGTCATTTCCGGTGAAACAGGAAGTGAACAAAAACAATCGAATAGGTCAATCAATCTTAATTTATGTCATATACTAACATACCAAATCTCGTTTATCTGAAAAAAATATAAAAGTTATATGTTATATGCCATATTTGAGACGCCGGTATATAAAAAAAAAGTAAATCCATCCATAGTTAAAAAATATTAGAAACTTTTTTAGTGAAATAAATTGATAGGTATGGACGTCATCTTTTTTTTTCTTCCCTGAATGTAAACACAGTATGTATAATGATTTAAAATTATTAAACTTAACAGATTGCCACCATTTTGTCAACTAAACGGCAGTCAACATAGAGGCTGTCATGTCAAATTCATATACAACTAGAAAGCTGTATTTTAGTGTTTGGCTATTTGGAAAAAATAAAATTTCTAGTTTTAAAAAATTACTACTACGTGTATGGAGCCAGAGTACCATAAAAAGATGGTTTTAAAAAATAATCACGTTAAAAGTAGATTCATATTCACACGAATTGTGAAAATATCGCAAAATATAACCTAATCTTTTATTTACCTACGTAGTTGATGTAATAGCGAAATTCGAAATTAATTCTAGGGATGCCTATTTGTATTTTTTACCATAGCAACTATTAAAATTGCCTTATATCTATCAAAAATAGTAGATAAAATAGTACTTTAACCGCAAAGGTAGATTAAATGATACTTTAACAAGGAGGATAGGTTAAAAAGTTTATTTCTTCTCAAACGTTTTTTAATTTCTTCCATTTTTGAAAATTTTTGTATTCCTTTTCAAGTTATTCGGGATTTAAATGGAAGTAGTTTGGATATGGAGTTTGTCGCCTCAGCCTGAATATCTGTTGGTAATTTACTTATTTCGTTTTGAGCGATTTCTGGCTCCAATTCAACCAGCAATCGATACGAAAGAGAATTAAAAAATATTGACTCAAAACTGACAACTAAAGAGACAGCTTTATTTATTTGTCAAATTACATAGAAACCAACCCCAACCGAGTACAATATTTTTTCTACTCGTAATAAATTCCTTGAAATAATAATTTCTGAATATTTTTTAAAACGTAACTCGCTATGAAAAAAGTATTGTTTTATACACGACGATAAAATACCATTTATCGTAATAATAATATATAATTAGTAATATCGTAAAAAATAACTATTTTTTGAAATTCAATATTCGCAATTCGCATTTCACAATTCGCGTGTATATGAACCTACCTTAATTCGAGTCCAATTTGAAATCATTGAAGCCATAAAAAATCATCGTTCGTTGGCGTGAGGGGGTGATATATTCTCGCCTTCTCGGTCGCCAATCAATCATAAAAAAGCGGACGTTTCAGCGACGATCAAACGCCAGTTTAAGGGCGACTGGGGTGAATTTTTAACCGGCAAAGGGTAGTCGCTGCAACGGCAGAACAAAAACTTGGCCAGCTAATCCGTGAAATTTGATCCAAATCGATTCGATTTAAGAAGAAAAGAGAAAAAAGCGCACAATATGTGCGGTTTCTGTTAACAAAAAACGCTTTAATTTGTTTTTGTGTTCAGTAAAAAGCTCCAGGTTAGTTTCAGTTAAATACAAGCTTAATACACCCTCTTCACTATTCGGAGAATAGGCCGAAGCAGGTCAAGGTCCTGTTTCATCGCCTAACTTTGTCACGTTTTGACTTGTCTCCGATTGTCTTTCTTGTCCAGTAGGTCTATTTCGGTTTGTCTTGACTTACCTACTTTAGGTTCTTAAGAGTCCATTTCACTGGTCCGAAAAAGTAGCAAAATAAGCGTTCAGCATTTAATGTTTTATGTAAAACTTGCTAGGTATTTTTACACAAATGAAGAAGGAAATTAAAGATAAAGGATTATACTATATCTGTATTGTAGCACAATTTTTAGACAACTTCTTTATTTTTAAGATTTTGATGGTCAAACATCAACAAAATATTCCTTATGTTTGGACTAAATTTTCTCGAAAATAAAGACATCATTTAAAATTCCGTTACTATACGGAAGTAGATTGAAGTTTTGTGATTAAAGTGATATATAATTTGTATGGTTTTGTAATAAATTGTTCCCTATTTTATGGCAAATGCTGAAGCACTGCAAACCTTAATCAAGCCTTAATCAAAGAACGTGTGTCTGGAATTTTGGGTGTGGCTTAACACGACAGTATCGGGCTAAGGCGATATATGTATAACCCGACCCCTGAGAGCGATCCGAAAGTAAAGCGTAATAGACTCTTAAAAGCGCCTCAAAACTACTCGTGAAATTGCGGAGAATGGCTTGGGGGATTTTTTTTTGGCGTCACCTGTTGTCTCGATCAATTTCGGTTCATTTCCATGACGTGTCGGTATCCATACCCGAGGCAAAGAACTTTTTTTGATAAATCTCAGTGAAATAAGTAAACCTAGACGTTTCTAAAATATCTGTTGATGCGATGACATTTCGTTAATTACATCTCGTTTTCTGTTGATTCCTCAAGATTAATATTTGAACACTCGTTTATAATATGTATAGATATTTAAGACCAAAACTTTTCACTTAATCTGCAGGAATATAATTACAATATTTTTATTATTTAATTTTGTTAAATGAATTAGTATATAAAATTGTATATCTTATGTTTATTTACGGCCTTAATATATAACAGTAGTATTGCTTGATGAACAACACTGGCAACATTATCAATACATCGAACTGATTGGAAGAATTATTGATTGACCCGATGTCAATAAAAGTGTGGTCCACGGACATTTTTCAAAAACAATGTTCTCTTATTGGTTTGTAAAAACTGTAAAAGATACTGTTGTATATAATAATAACATTGCTTTGATATAATTCCATTAAAAATAAGAAATAATTAGACCATTTTTTAAATAATTTAATACTATATTTAAGTTATATAATATAATTTAAGTTTTGGAAATATATTACAAATCAGTATCGGCAACTGTCAGAAAACAACGTGCAAAACAGTGCATCTAGATGATTTTTCATATCAGTTTAAAATATAGTGGTATTACATTACACTCAATTACAAACTAATGATATTTATTCATACTCCATGTTTACTTACTCTCAAGCCACCACAACGTTTGGCCGTGATTGTTTCACGAAGTAGTACGAAGAATATAAACGTGTGTTATACAAATTTTGTCGAAACCTGTTGATTACTTTGTATATTATTATGATATTAGAAATAGTGAATCATATACTTCTGGATTATGACAAAACTAAAAAAAATATATTTGTTGCAGATGGCGATCATCAAGATTTTAGTGGAGACGATCACAGTATCAATAGTGACAACAATCCAGAGATTCACGATGAGAACTCTCTCGATTCAGAAAAGGATGGAGCTCTTAACTTGGTAAGTTTTAATACTTCATTTCTGTTTAATTTTAGTAATGTATCTTGATTTTTTTTGTTTTTTGACTCATGTCAACACATACCTTGTTTAATTTTTAAGAACAAAATGAACTTGCCACAAACATTTTGCATTTTTTTTCAATTATCGTTACTTTTTGATGTTGATCATAAAGTTAGGGTAAAAAGTCTATGAACTAAAGTTGATAGATTTATATACAGTTTGGTAAAAAATCCATGATTCAAAAATATAACACTTTAAAAACTTCACAAAAAAAATCCGTTGTGTTTTTTATTTTTATTGCATCTAAGTTTCTCCAAAACATCTAGTTTCTACAAAAAACATATCCCTTGTCAAATTATCTCGCACTTATTTATATACTCCAATTTTTATATTTAAACTGCTTATGTTATTATTAAACTATACTAATTAATAGATAACGTTCTTTTTTTGGTTTGATAAAATTTGCATTTAAGATAATTTGAAGAATTCTATTAAGCACTTGACGAAGATTTATTAATATTTATAAAGCTGTATGATGAAATCTATAAATAAATCGACCCTCGTACATTTTTATATTTGTGTTTTTCCTTAAGTGTTATGAATAATTAATAAGTAAACAAATCTGTCAAGTATCATTAATACTTTCGTCACTTTTTATACTTTTAGGGAAAGTACGATTTTTAGGAAAAAAATATTTTTTTATTTATTACAAATTATGAATAAATATTCTTATATAAGCGATACCAATTAAAATTTGGTATGCTCTATATTATTGTCTCAAAATGCCAAACATTAAATAGAAAAACAAAGTATACAAACGATAGCTTTAAAACTAAAACATTATTAAGATCGTAAAATATTTACTTTTACTAATTTCTCAACATATGAATTCCCCGGAGATGAACCGATCAACGGAGAATTGTTCTTTTTCTAAACATTTGTTCTAAACATAATATATAAATCTATTCTGTCAAAAGGGCAATTGTTCCTGTCGGAAAACTTGAAATTCTGCAGGGAAATCGACTTGTGCTGCCTGGGGCTTGTTTGATGCTTGCCAGTCTTGTTTGCCCACATTATTAAAAAGGGGGCCTTCAGTTTTGTACAAGAAAAACGACAGAACAATATTAATTTACTTCAGAATTATTTTTTTATTATTTATTAGATTTATTTCTACTCGTCAATGATTTTAATAGACATATCTGTAGTAAAAAATCAAAGTATTTGCATAATAGTTTCGTTTAGACGATTAAAATTAGTTTTGCTTTCTTGTTTTTGTTTTTATTTATTTCTCATCTTTATTTTTTTAAATTTGTTTATGAGTAAAAAAAGTCACTAACTAGCCCATCTCCGTCTAACCGTTGATTGAAGAAATAATAAGAGTCGCACAAATAGTGGCACAGAACATGTCCAACATGTAGATGGCGTTACCGTTACATGTCCGAGATTTAGTTTTGCTCTGCGCCGCTGCGCGCTGATAGTCGTTTACAGCGCAGCGGATAAATAATGCTGTATAGAAGTTCTGCATTCAGTCGACAGAGTGGGTGATTGCTAGAGACAGTGTTGCCAGAATTACGGATGCCAGTAGATTTACGGATTTTCGGTGCAGTACGTTAATAATACGGGTTTTCTATCATTGCACAATATAATATAATATTATATGATTAAATAAAGAACGGCGTGAGAGTTGGTTTGGGAATGAAGATCGTTGTTATATCATATGTAAAATATTATGGTAAATGTCGTTTATTCATTTCCAAGCTAACTAAACGATTTTTTTCGATCATGCGTAAGATTCAGTACCTTTAAAAGAATTTTTATTTTTGTTGTTTATTCTATATTTAACACGAATAAATTTTCAACACATACATGCGGATTTTTCATTCAAAGATATTTTCGTCAAACGTATTACAGATATTACACATTTTAATATGGCAACACTGTTACTCTCAGTTCCACACCGTCTTCGATATGTCTTCGCTAGCCGAATTGGAGAAAATGAGTTTTTTATGCGTTGGCCGCGGAACGAACACCGTACAGCGCTTGAGACGTAAGGGGAAATCATATCATCCTTGTCACGAATTTGCCCATTAGGTTGCGTATCTTCCCAATTCTTTCATTCGACGGTCTAACGCAGAGGCGTTTTACAAGAAAAAATAACTTTTATCTTGTAGATTTCTGTTTCACTGGTGAATAACCCGGGAATTTTTCCAGGAATCCTAATAAAATGATTCAAGATCAGGTGAGTATATATAGGAGGAATAATGGGGGTAATTATACCTCCCAGTAAGAAATTTATAAATTAGATAAAAAATTAATTTAAATCAAGTACATTACTTAAATATTGCCACTACACTCCCGTGTTCAAAACTATAATTTTTAGACATCAATAAATTTTGTTAAAAAATATAACATAACATAGTTTAATAATAGAATAGCTATCTATGGAGTATTATAAATAGTTCATATACCGCATGATCGAGAAAAAACGGCGTCAACGATGGCTATGAAATGAAGATCGCTGTCATTTTATATGTAAATTTATATGGGAAATGTCATTGATCGTCATTTCCCAGCCAACTGGACGCCGTTTTTTTTCGATCATACGGTATATTCTCTCGTTAAAAATAAAAAAGAAATTAAACAAATATGTCTGTAAAATTTTAAATTATAACTAAAGATTCCATGCTTTTTAAACACTATTTCAACCTATAAAAAATTAATTATAAACCATACATTCTACAATCTAGGATCTCTAGGTAAAATGATATATATGTTTAATTCATTTACAACTTTTAAACCCCAATAATTTAGAAATTTCATTTTATATCTAGTTAATATAAGCGAAAAACTAAACCGGCCTGCATTATGACCGCAATTAGTAAAAATTTTACGCCTATTACTTTTTTATATTGAGCTTGCTCATCCTAATAAAACTTGGATTAATGATTTTAAAACAATTATTACTGTATGACCGAGCAGAATTTTTAAAGTGCATCATCACAGAGAAAAAAAGGAAGAAATACTATTCAAAATATTAATCGGGTCTGATATGCTTCGTTACTTATGTATATACTTTTAAAATTGGCTTTAAGTGCCTTTTTATGGTATCGTTAATGATATATACGTTTGATTATTATTTTAATAAAAATGTATCTGTTGATTTCTACTTGTAATGTAGATATGAATTATCGGAAATTATTTAAATCACATCTATTTAAATTTTTGTTTACTATAAAGATAATTATTTTATTTATATAATTTGTCGAAAACAATCACTATTCACGTACTACTGATATGCTACAGACGGAATTGTATTACCTCAAGTTCAAGTACACTCTATTATTTAGGTATAAACAACTTTATACAAATTGATCTGTAGTTTTGAAGCTAAATAAAATTTAAATAAAAAATGTCTATACCTATGTGGCGGATTTATCTCTCCAAAAAAATCCTATATGGGTATTTCGCCAGTGCACTGCAAGAACATCTACAAAATAAAATAGTTATTTTTTGTTATATTGTAACACTTCTGCGTTAAACCCAAATGGACACTACTTGTCAGAAGTTATGTTTGCAGTTATACAAATTTGCCTAACAAAGAAAAAAATGCTTAAAGTTTCGGAAAGTTTATCTCTTTCCGTCGTCGGAGGCAAAAACTATTAAAGAAAAAAACTATTTAAAATATTTAAATTCAACTATTCGAGAACACTTTACTTTTTTAAAACAGATACGTCTACAAGAAACCGTTGACGTTCTGTTAAAAATAACAGAAAATTTAAATATTTCGAAGACTTTGAGATTTTTATATGTAACTAATGACTATAAATACTTTAATGAGCGGGTTATGTCAAAAACTATAAAAATAAAGTGTGTGCACTATGTGCGTATATTTGAAGTGAAACTTCTTACTAACATCTATTAAAATGAATGGATTTGAATGACTTGTTTGGTCCCTTGAAAAAGGGACATAATGTAATTATGTTTTAATATAAATATTAATTTCAATTAATTTCTGTAATCTATACATTTTCTGTTTTCTCTATAGCCTGCAAATTTTGTGGAATACAACCCAAGATACATACTTTTATGCAAATGCCTAATAATGTGTTTAAATTTATTTAAGAAGAGAAAAAAATTTGAACCTAACCAACAATTCGTATTTATAGTGGGTTAGAGTAATTCTGTTAAATTATAGAAATATTCTCGTTGATTATTGGTTTCAAATAAATATGACAAGTGTCCTCCAATGAAAATGCGAGTTGCTTAACTCTAATAATTCTAATTCTAAGCTGGCAATTGAGCTAGATGCTTTACCTAGACAAGCTACAAACCCATCGATGAAAATATGCATGAAAATTTACTTTCTAGCACACAACTATAGGATACTGGTACACAGGTGCAGTATCAAGTTTATTATAGTTATTTTATTAGCCGCGTTTGGCAACACCGAATGGGGTAGCTGTGGCAATACTGCCGTTACCACTTTTTCCTGACGCTAGCTCTTGTGTCACGGCCTTGAATTTTTACTCCCAACGCGCCTGAAGAAGTTTCACGTCAATAATTAAATTTTGTGTCTTCATATTCGATGATGTATTTTTACCAGTTACATTAAAATATTTCTTATTAATATTTCTAATTTTTTTCTTTACAGGTTACGGGCCATCCTGAACAACCTCGAATACCCTCACCATCCCAACTCAATAACTCAAATTCGGGGGTGAATTCAGCCTTGGCAGCCTTGGGTGGATTAGGCAGCATTTTTGGCAACCCCCTTCAAATGTTGAGTAGCTTGCAAGCGTTTCAGAACCCCCAAAGTCTACAATTGGCAATGCTTCAGCAAGCCAGCGGGCAACCTTTAAATCCACAAGCACAATTCTTTTTACAGAATCAGGTAAGATTTGATTTTACTTAAATGTATAAGAGTTTCTTAAAATAACACGAGAATACTTTGAATTTTAAGGGATTTCTACAAGGGTTTCATAGATCAAGTATATCGACTAGAAATCCACATTCAATGCAGGTGTGTTTTCACTGAGTTAAATCATTTTATACTATATCTACTTTCGTGGGTAATGTTTTCGACTGTGTTGTGAATATATTTTATATCGTTGTTTATTGTCTAAATTAAGAATGTATTTTTCTCAATGTACGTGTATATGATGCACTTTTTCTTAGATCTTTTTTTAGTGCATGTTTATATATACACTTTCAGTCTACACTACAAACACAAACACACATAAACGTTCAGACATAATCGATTTAAAATAAATTTTCAATTTATTACGATGTTAGAGATAAAGTGCTTATTAAATATCAACATGTTTATCAAATATTAAGGCGGACTTAGTAATGTGGGTCAATAAAACAATATCTGTATTGATACAAGTTTAGTACTAAAAATGAAAAATATAAAATTTCCCACTTATGAGCACAATTATATTAGATAAGAACAGACTCGAATTGACATTAATTAGGAGAATATTGTTTATACTTTACAAAGAAATAATTTATGGCACGATTCTGGGAAAAGTTTAATTTATGAACTAAACTAGCATTGTTTGGTTTTAAAATGAAATTAAAATAAGTTATTATAAGAGTTATAAATTGAGTTGATCTTTTATATAATGTATAACTAAATAATTGTTTTCCCTTACTTAAGAGTCTATTACGCTGTACTGTTCGGGTCGCTCTCAGGGATCGGGCGAAGGAAATATATATTATATTTCAGAAATCTGCCTAAGGCTTAGCCCAGTCCTGTCCTGTTAAGCCACACCCAAAATTCCAAACACACGTGTTTTGATTAAGGCTTGATTAAGGTTTGCAGAGCTTCAGCATTTGCCATAAAATAGTGACCAATTTGTTACAAAACCATATAAATTATATATCACTGTAATCACAAAACTTCAAACTATTTCCTTATTGTCACGGAATTTTAAATTGTGTCTATATTTTCGAGAAAATTTAGTCCAAACATAAGGAATATTTTGTTGATGTTTGACCATCAAAATCTTAAAAATAAAGAAGTTGTCTAAAAATGTGCTACAATACGATTATAGTATAATCCTTTATTTTTAATTTCTTTCTTCATTTGTGTAAAAATACCTAGCCAGTTTTACATAAAAAGTTAAATGCCGAACGCTTATTTTTTTCTTCTTTTTCGGACTAGTGAAATGGACTCTTAAGGAACTGCTTTTAAAATCCTTAAAAAGGCAGCTGTCAAGTAATTACAATATAAAATATCTAAAAGAATTAAATAACACTTTTAACATTGCCTGCAACATAAAACATGAAAAACAATAATTGATATCCCATAGTTCGATGTTGGCATGTATAAAATTATCTACAATTAATGGAAGTAATAGCAATTTTTTCTCGTATTTTAGGTCCATCAAATAGCACAAGCTGCTCAACAACTTCAGCAACTCCAAAAAGCCCAACAACAGCAACAACAAAGCCACCATCAGCAATCATCTCCCCACCAACAACATTCTCCTCACCAGCTCAATACTTCCATTCCTCCCAACACACAACTCTCGCAGGGCATGGGCCAAAATCAAACAACACCTCCAAATAACGGGCACAACATTCCCGCCAGTTTACTCACTCCCAGCACTCCGAGTTCCGGAGGACTGACACCGCAACATCTGAAGACACCATCTAGGCTGATGGAGCCCAGTCCTGAAGAAACAACAGATTTGGAGGAGTTGGAACAGTTTGCGAAGACTTTTAAGCAGAGGAGGATAAAATTAGGTACGGCATTTATTTCTAGTTTTATAAAAACCGAAATTATATTGACCGAGTCTGAAAGAGTCTGAATATACAGTCACGGGGGGCACGCAAAACGGGCACCGTAAAATTTTCATGTATTTTAAAGGTTTATACAGGGTGTTTCAAAAAACATGTGCCATGTCTCGTGGGGAGATTCCTCACGTAACGATAAGATTTATTTTTCATATCAACATAGGTCCGATTCTGCTTTGTTTCGTAACTATAGAGTGTGAAAGTCTTAATATTTTTTCGATTTATTATAATTTTCTTCCAAGTACTTTTAGCGTTTAGAATAAAATTTTGAGTATAAAAGTTACTATAAATGCGATATATTCAACCATGGACGTGCATATGGGTTATCACTGGAATATTTTTTTAAAAAAACTACGTGCGCCACTGACTTTTTTTTCTCTTGTTAACGAAAGAGTGTAAACAGTTTAATGCTGAATAAAAGCTGTCTCTTGATATTTGGTCGACTTCGGCCTCCTTGGTGAGATAAACGCAATTTTATTAATTTGCCTTGATCCGATCTAACAGCAACCTTTAAAAAATATCAATTTAATTAACTTGAGAAAGTTTTAAATAAATACTTATTGATTGCTCATCAAAAAATATGAAAAAAGTTCCTATGAACATGGAAATGCATAGTTTTAGAGTTACAGGATGTTAAAACTTTTTAAAATTAGTTTTTTTGTAATTATCTTAAATACCATTATTTTTTTTATTTGAAATGGCTGTAGGTTGGACTAATAGTAATAATAACTAATAGTTATAGTATTTAATAATAAATTAGGTAAAATATATAATTTTTTAATTTTATTGTTATTTTATTAATTATTGTGGTTAAATAAAATTGCGTTTATCTCATCAAGGAGGTCAACTTTTAATAGGCATTAAACGGCCTACATAATTTTGATATCAAAAGAAAAAATTCCAGTGCATGAAAAAGAGTTAGCAGTAGAATACAAAAAAAAAGTTTTGTCACTTTTTTTGTCAGAAATCATAAATAATCTATGAGAAACAAATAAATTATTTATATTAAATCATACAAGGAAGCAAAAAAATAGTCATCTAAATTTTAAATGTTTATATCAACAATCAATTTTATTAAAATTTTAAGTAGATATTTATTTTCTCTGAAATTAGTCACAAACATATCATGAAATTGATTTCTTTGCAATTTTCTGATTAAAATATATATTTTTTCAATTACGAATACTTTTCTCAGAATCTATTAACTTATTAAATATTGATACTTTAGATACTGATAACGATTTGTATTTAATCATGATTAGTTTACATATATGAGAATTATAACTTGTAACGGGTGCTTTCAATATATGAAATGAAAAAAAACGAACGAATAAATTTTCAATACATAAACGCGGATTTTTCATCCAAACATATTTTCGTCGAAATTTATTACAGATATTACACATTTCAATATGGCAACACTGTCGCTTTCGGTTCCACACCGTCTTCGATATATCTTTGCTAACCGAATTAGAGCAAATGAGTATCTTATGCGTTGATCGCAGAACGAGTAGAGGCTCCACGGTACAGCGCTTGAGTCGTAAGGGGAAATCAAATCATCCATGTCACGAATTTGCCCATTATATAGGTTGCGTATCTTCCCAATTCTTTCAATCAACGGTAATATACTTTTAGCACTCATGCCAAAAGTTTTAAGTAATTTACTTTAATTTAAATGTTTCAGTTTTTTATTGAAAACTCGTACGGCTACTTTGACTTACTAGTCAATATGTAATTCAAAATTGGCTTGTTTGGATATTTCTTTGACTTTTACTGGTATTTGACAATACTTTTGAATTTGTCGAATCAACAAATTCGATATTTTTTTATACTTTTTTTCCCTCATACCATAAACATCTTCAATGATAATTTCCTTCTTTCAGGTTTCACTCAAGGAGACGTTGGACTGGCGATGGGCAAACTCTACGGCAACGACTTCTCCCAAACAACAATCTCCAGGTTCGAGGCCCTCAACCTCAGCTTCAAAAACATGTGCAAGCTGAAACCCCTCCTCCAAAAATGGCTCGAAGACGCTGACAGTACCTTAACAAACCCCGGAGCCCTGAGCAATCCTCTGACAACACCCGAAACCATTGGCAGAAGAAGAAAGAAGCGCACTTCTATAGAAACCAGCGTGAGGGTAGCCCTCGAAAAGGCTTTCCTTCAAAACCCCAAACCGACATCCGAAGAAATATCGATGTTGGCAGATAGCTTATGCATGGAAAAGGAAGTTGTAAGAGTTTGGTTTTGTAACAGGAGACAAAAAGAAAAGAGGATTAACCCACCCCCGGCAGCTATGGGCTCTCCTTGTTCGATAGGAAACGGTACGACTCCAATATACGCCCTAGCGAATAACTTAGCTAGTAGTCCCTTGTCTCTGGTGACCTCGAGCCATCAGAGCTTCAATCCGAACGTGATGGTAAAGCAGGAATGACCCCACGTTAATTTTTTCGCTGATCATTTTATGGATTAGTGGTCTAGGAAGGTGTTTTATCCAAAGATATAGACAGATACGTTGGAATAGTCGAGATATTTATCAGTGCAATGATCGTAGAAGCAGGAAGCAGTGTTTTGTGCTCACTCAAAAAAAAAACGATTTTTTTTTGAGGTTACGTAACGAATAGTCTTCCGTGAAGTTGATGAAGAGTTCCTTCACAAGACACATGCGCGTCTTTATAAAACTACAACGCCATTCTTTATCGCAGTATTCTCAAGTTTCGTTAACGTCATTTTAAATTATTTTGTTTAATAATTGATGAATATTCTAAATATAGGTAACTGTCGACTAGCGTCTACATTGACGTTTTGCACATGATCTAAATATTATCTGAGAAGTGTAGTATTTATAATAAAATATTGAAGATGGAGAACTTTTTGGTCAAATTTAAAGTATTATATTTTTGTTATTTTTAGCCCTATTTTCATGAATTTTTTAGTAAACTGCATATAATTATATCAACTTTAATTCGTAAACTCAGTTTTTTTATTAACTCTAGTATTTGGTATATTATACAGGGTGAATCGAGGGGTTGTTTTTTACCCTAAGTTTAAAATAAAACACCCTGTGCAATAATTTCGTGTGTAAATTTTCCAAAAATATAATTTTACGATCAAAACCATGTCTCCTGAGCATTTTGTTTTTTGAATCATGTCAATAAATTCCTTGGTTAATTTTTAAGAGCGAAATGAACTGATCACGAATAATTTGCAATTTTTTCAGTTATCATTACATTTTGATGTAATTTTTTAATATGACGAGATGGTTTTGGTGACTATTGTCGTAACGTTAAAGAAAAACGTTAAAGACTAACGATACAGCCTGGGTTTTAATAAACATTAATAACAATAACAGAACTAACGATATTAAAGAAAACATCATCGTCATACAAGCAGAAAAAAGAATGTAAAAATTACCCTAATACTAATTTGTATAACCTCCCTTGGATACTATAACTACCTGTATAGGTACGTTCATATTGTCATTGAGGCTGCATATCTCATATTTCGTTATGTTTTACCATTCTTCTTTAAGGACCAAGCGAAGTTCATTTAATGAAGCTGGTACCGCTTCGTGACCTTATTTTGCCAGGCATTTCCCAAACGTCGAACATAGTTCATAGTAGTATATAGTTAGCATAGTAGTATATAGTTAACAATAATCACCAAAGCCGCATTGTCATACTAAAAAATAACTTCAAGAAGAAATGATAATTGAAAAAATTGCAAATTGTTGGTTGCAAGTTCATTTCGCTCTTAAAAATTACCCAAGGCATGCATTGACATGATCCATAAAACAAAATACTCAGGAGACCGTAAAATTTTATTTTACGAAAATTCACATACGAAATTATTGCACAGTGTGTTTCAAATTTAAGAAAGAAAACAACCCCTCGATTAACACTGTATAATATGCCAAATACTAAAGTTTAAAACAAACTGAGTTTACGAATTTTAAAGTTGATATAATTATATACAGCTTGCTAAAAAATTCATGAAAATAGGGTTAAAAATAACAAAAATATAACACTAAATTTAACCAAAATATTCTCCGTTGCGTTTTTTTTGCATCGGAGTCTATATGTATAATTTTTTGGGGCTAAAGGTTCATTAAAAATGTCTCAGAATATCTTTGTCACATAGAGAACTCTCATGACCTTTAATGAATAACTAATCTCTAATGAATAAAGTTTATGTGATTTCAATGAACATTATAAAAATGTCTGATTAAAATTCCGATATTTAGAATATCCTCATTGACTGTTTTCTTTTTTGACTAAAAAACCGACGTTAAAATGCCGTTAATGGCACTTATATTATACTCTACCATTATTCCTACAGTAGTTTCAATAAAACCGCGATATAAACAGAACATTTAAACGAATAGGTGAGCTTAGATTTAAGAATCCACCCTATATATTTATTTAATATTAATTTATCAACTCTATCTACAAATCTTGTGTATGTTCCGACCCCCTCACCTTTTGTAACATATTTTATAATATAATTTTATATATCTCTTATATAATGTACAAACCTATAATTTAATCTTATATATCTACTTATTATTTTTTTTATATTGCTTGTATATTAATGTAAAAAAATAAACAATTTAAATGTTTACAATATTTTTCTTTTGTGTCGTTGTATGTTTTCCATTTTTTTTTTGTTAAAAATTGACAAGTGACATTTATCTGTCTACAGGGTCTCACAATATTAAGTTCTTAGTTTTTGTCACTTGTCGATTTTACTATTGTCAAAGTCTGTAAATAATGCATTTCAAAAAAATCTTTGTAGTAAAAACGAGAGATTTGACGGATTTTGGTTGTTATACTGTCATGATTTGTTGAATGAAAAGTTTTGTGTAAATAATTTAAAACGTCTAGTAGGTCTTTTTTCAATCAAAGAGGACCAAGTAGAAGCATTATAAAGTTCCTATAAATTTAATTGTTGATATTAACGATAACAATAATATCATTAAAGAGTAGTTAATAGCTGTATACGTAAGTGTATAAAAAAGTTAGAGACTGACATCGAGATAAATGTATTTTAAATGTTCCAATTTCCCAAAATTATCAAATAAAAAATATTTTTTTCGCACACATATATTTACAGATTTTTTTACGAATCAATTTGATTTTTCTAAAGGAAAAATGGAAATGATTTTGTATAAAAAAATATCCTAGGAATGTGTATAAAAACTGTACAAAATAATGTTCACAGAAGGTTTTTTTAAACACATGTAAAAACATACTACATATCTGTAATGCTGTAAGATATATAATGTTAGTCTGTGGACATAGTCTTTAAAAAGTCATATCAATGTGTAATTTTAGAATCGTATATTTTAAAAATATCTGTATGTCGAAAAAATAATTTTGTAATAATTAGATAATAAAAGATTTTTACGATTAAATTAATGATGTATTTTTCTTTGTAAAAATCTTTTATTAGAATATAGGTGATCCAAGTAGGTATATGTGTGTAGTATACATACGTGTTATAACTTAAGATATGCAAAACAAGTATACAAAACTAATGTAATTGTGTATGTAATAGATGACAAAAAGGAGAAAAAAAAACAAATCAATTTCTACCTTGAATGAAAACATGAATGAAAAAGATATGGATTCAAAATCAGAATTTTGTATTGGTTCAGTTTATAGTAAGTTGACGATGTTAAGAATTTTGTTTCCAGTGTGTAAAATACAGGCAATAAATAAATAATACAAATAGGCAATAACGTGTACATTATTTTCATTAAAGAAAACAATTCGTACGCATTGAGTTTTATTTATACATCCTTACTTCACCATATACAGATCACACCACAAACTAATATACTTAATTAGTTTAAGTGTTTCAGTTATTTTTATTTTTTTATTTTTTTTAATTCTAAGTTAGTCTGTGATCATACCAAATAAACTTTTAGTCACGTGATTAAGCTTAACCGGCACAGCGTTGCCCACTTTTACATATTTTCTTTTAATCAAAATTATTTTAGGAAACAAAAATAAATTAATTATAAATATATAAACACTTATTATTTATATCAACAAAGCTCACCTCCTTATCACCACTTAAAGAACATAAGAGGCTTACTACCACTTTCCCGTTCAAAATAATCTAAAAAGGTTGCGATGAATTTTTTGCAACGGCTATTAAGCTGTTTTGTACACTTTGCACCAAAAGAGGTTCTAAAAAGATCAATGTTCGACTGCTAGGTCTGCTTGTAAAAATGTTTAAGCTTAAAGTATACTATAAAACTTACTTTTAAAGGATAAAATAACTCGTAATACAAAACTAAAGTGTCAAAACGAATGACAATGTCAGGAAATAAATAAATAAATATGGCACCTTGACATTTTTTACAGCAGAACTACCACCTGAATCCCCAGCGGGAAATTTAAACTCCAGTTAGTCAGCCTGGCGCCAAATATGTCCATGGTTGGTAACAATAAATTTAAAAATCGCGCCCTCGATTGCGTAACTAAGAGTATAATTAGTATCGCTTATAATTAAATAGCGAGGGATAAAAATTGTAAAACTGGGAATAAATAGCAAAAAATACAAACGAGGTATATCATATAAAAAATTGGAATTGAATGGTACAGTAAAATCAATAAAAAAAAACAGACCTATAGGGTTTGTCACATAAAATAGTATGATTTTTATATTTATGAAATATTCGGAATTCATAAAATTATTTTGAACCACCTTGTAGCATCTAACTAAAATATCTTTAATATCTTTTTGTTCATTTCTAGAAAACTCTCCTACCAAAAGTGTGTACTCCAACTTCCTGAAATCTATAATAACATATTTGTAAAATAAATTGAAATATTACAAAAACTACTTGTTGTAGGTGTATAAATATAAAAAGTTATAGAATGTTAGGTAGAGTTTAAAAGTAAAAAAAATATAGATGGTTCTTTACGTTTAAAAATTATATGCTATATCTATATCACTCTATATATGTACTAAAAAATAATTTTAATTGGTTTTTCTTACCATTCCCTAAATCTTTTTTATTTAACATGTTCTCAAAGGTCTCAAATATCATCTATAATCAAGGGTCTCAAACAAACACGAGTTTATGAACTTTATCGTTAGCCTACTCTATGCTTTAACAAGTTTTTTTTCTAAATTTTGATTGAATTTTAATAAATTTTAAATACTACTTGCGACATCTATCGATGGTCTAACTGTAGCATCACTCTAAAATTATAGATTTCCTATATTGTAGAAGGATTAGTTCGCAATATTTTCAATAGATGGCCATTCTTTTTATATACATTTTATAAATTTGAAAATTTTCTGAATAAATAATATTTTAATAATTTCCTTATTAACAATATAAATATTATTATATATAATATAACATCTATATATTTTAAAAAGTTTTTATTTAATTACTGATATGGAAGATAAAATGACCCAAAAAAGATGTTTTAATATCAACCCTTAATTTATTTGTTTCTTTTTTAAGTTGTGGATTTATTTTGTGTCTTGTTATTTTTGTTGGGTAATTATAAATAAAAAAAGACACATTCCTTATTGCCATTGCACAATTTTAGTATCCAACGATTACAATAAAAATCATAAATAAATAAATTTAGTTTTAGATTAAGCCAGAATTCATTTTTTTTTCTATTTTTTTGTACTTTAGGAGTATAATTATAATGGGAGGAACTAAAAGTGTTGGAGAAATACCGTATGATCAAATAAAAACGGCGTCCAGTTGGCTAGGAAATGACGATCGATGATATTTCCCATATAAAATTGGCAGCGATCTTCATTTCATAGCCATCGCTGACGCCGTTTTTGTTCGATCATACGGTATTATTGATTATAAATAAACTGCCAACTGCCAATAACGATGTTCCTGATATATTTTATAAAAGTTATAAAAATTCCATTCCTTGGCATACACTACTATTTAAAAGCTTGCACACAGCTTGTTGTTAAGTCTGGTTATTAGACTAATTTATCGCTTATTAACTATACAGTAGCGTAGCATGATTATGTTTGCGGTTTTGTATTTGTTTTGTATTTGTTGACACTATAATATATAATATACTTAGAGAGGGAACCTATATAGACTTAACCAGTTTCTGTGTTATCTGTTTAGCTATACAGTACGTCTGTCCGTTCTATAGCTACGAGGTATCCGTGAGAGGGGAAACGATATTCTCTCGATGTTTTTCGTAAAAAATTAGACGACGCGTCTCATGAATACAAACGACAAATTTGCAAGTAGCCAATAAAATGAGTGGGCGGAGCGATTTGTGGTGACGTACTCGTCAAGTCGACGAATAAAATATATTGTTGTTTATTTAAATGTTTTTTGTCCGCATTCCTTTCATAGACACAGATCCAGCAGATGTACTGTACAAGGGTTTTCTTTTATATTTTGCATATTGAAAAATGTCTGTTAAAAAAACTGTCATCTTCAGTTAACTTTATTGACAATTTTCGAAAACTGTTGTCTCAAAAAAAGCCTTGCCGAGTTGGCTTCTGTTTTCGAACTGCCTGAACGGTCTAATTTAAGTTAAGTGAATTGATTCCATTTCGACACGCGGACGCAACGCAAGCGCGACGCGACGCTCGACGCTCTCAGCCTGAATGTACCTTAACATCAGTGGACAATTTCTCGTTGGTATGGAGAATTTAAATTATATTTTATCCTCTCATAGTATATGTCTATTTATTTTTTTTTATTATATAATGGGCACTTTGTTTACTCACTTGTTTATTCGAAACTGCTTGAATCCATTTTTGCTTTTGATCAAATCGGCGTGAGAAACTATATGAAGCTATAAAAATATTGCTTCGGAAGAGTTGAATATCCGGCAAAGTTGAATTATTGAATGTTATTGCTCCCAACAACGCCTTCATAACGATCTCCTTTACGCGTTTCAGCAATTTTATTAACATTTGAAATTGTCACAACACAATTTTCACTTATGTTTTACTACCCTTTACAGCATGTTATCACACAAACCTCGTACCTGAGTGTTTTTAAAATTGTCTTATATCTATCAAAAATAGTAGATAACATAGTACTTTAACCGCAAGGGTAGATTAAATGATATTTTAACAGCGACGATAGGTTAAAAGCTTTATTTCTTCTGGCACGTTTTTTAATTGCTTCCATTTTTGAAAATGTTTGAATTCTTTTTCATAAGTTATTCAGGATTTAAATGGAAGTAGTTTGGATATGGCGTTTGTTACCTCTCAGCCTTAATATCTGTTGGTAATTTACTTATTTCGTTTTGAGCCATTTCTGGCTCCAATTCAATCAGCAATCGACACGAAAGAGAATTAAAAAATATTGACTCAAAACTGACAACTAAAACGCTTATTATTAAAACGCAGTTTTATTTATTTGTCAGATTACATAGAAACCAACGCCAACCCAGCACAATATTTTTTCTTGAAATTAATTCAAGTATAAGTAAAAGATTAATTCACTCGCGATTTCATCGCTAGTGAATTAATCTTTTCGGTCGACGATAAAATACCATTTTATCGTCTTGTATAAAAAATAACTAAAATATTATGACAAAATAACGATTTCAATATTATTTTAATGCGATCAACATGACGGCGCACAGTGATTCCGAAAACGCGAAAAGTGACAAAAAATAATTATTTAATTTATTTCAACTTACTATGTATCAACTATGTATGGATACTATGTATGTATTTTTTTAAATTATTTTTGTTCAATATGGTTTTCTAAGTATATAAGTGACGTTTTGAATTCAGAAAATTGAATTATGTATTCAGAGCGTACTTAAATTGGCTGTAATAAACAAAAAATGGTTTGTAAAAAATTTAATTATACTATTTTGTCTTTAATAGCATATTAATTTAATACTCTATTCTTTGTAAAGCTTAAAAAATCAAAAAAAAGTTTTTGTAAACACGTAAATAAATATACAGGGTTTTATTTTCAGCCCCTTACAATAGAATTAGCATTTCGTTTTTGATATAATTAATCCTTTCTTCAGAACTAGTTACCAATAAGTATTACTTAAATTCAACTTAAAAAGATATTTATATTCATATCCAAAAAAGAAACTAAATACATCTGTATATTTTATGTAGTTAGCTATTAATGAAAGTAACACCAAAACATCTAAAAGACTGAGCGCTCTTTTCGCATTAGATGTAAACAGTTGTTCACTTACAACCATTTATTTTAGTTATATTTTTAAATGTTCTATAATTTAGAAATATCTGTAATTACCTGTGGTAAAAATATTATACTTAGATTATAATTAGAACTTAGTTATAAGAATTTAATACGCAAGAAAAAAAACAACTGAAATGCACCAACCCCATATGCAAAATATAACTCATATATTATCATGGAAAGACTTCATAAAGTAACCATTCTCTCAAGCAAATGAAGTTAATCTTTTATCACAAAAAAAACTTAACCTACGCCACTGGTCAGCGACGCCGCACTGTCCGCCAGGCGCCGGCTTCCCCTACGCGCATTTCCTTGTGTTTTTTTCAGTCTGTCTGCCGGTGCTTTCAGCTGATCGCAATTTGTTGTGAATGGTCGTGTTTTCCTGTCCGGATCTTGTGAAACATATTGTAATTCAACTGGAGCAAAATGACAGCTTCTCAAGTAAGGCAGAATTTTCACAAAGACTGCGAGGATGCTATTAATAAGCAAATTAATATGGAACTGTTCGCGAGTTATTCGTATTTGTCTCTGGTAAGTCCATGCTTTTGTTGTTTTGTCTGTGCACAAGGGAAACATAATACTAAATTTTCATACAATATTTTTTGTTTCAATGCTATGCGAAAATTTTATAGTAAACTGAAATAAATTGATTTCTATTTTATTATTTTTTTAAAAAAAAATACTTTTTTTAAATTCTAGACTTTTTCCGCGCTTATTAATTTAAAGCCTAAAATATCTTTTCAAATAAACACAGGAAATACCGTATGATCGAGAAAAAACGGCGTCAGTGATGGCTATGAAATGAAGATCGCTGTCATTTTATATGGGAAATGTCATCGATCGTCATTTCCCAGCCGTTTTTTTTTTCGATCATACGGTATTAAAATTCTTGGCTATAAAATTGCGTAACTTTGCCATAATTCGCACTTCGTAATACCGTACGATCGAAAAAAAAAACGGCGTCCAGCTGGCTGGGAAATGACGAACGATGACATTTCCCATATAAATATACATATAAAATGACAGCGATCTTCTCAAATATATGAGGAATGTCATCGATTTTCATTTTCAAGCCACCTGGACGCCGCTTTTTCTCTCGACCATACGGTATAAATAAATATAGAGGACAGTATGAATAGAAAGTGTGTCTAGAGAAAAAGATAGACATTTTATTAATTTAATCTTAAAAGAAAAAACGTTGTGTATAGAACACAAATACCAGGTGCGTCTCAAAAGTGGCTTACCCCTGTAACTTTTTTATTTTTTTCAGAAAAAAAAACAAGATTTTGTATGTTAGTATATGACATAAATTAAGATTTATTGACGAATTCAGTTGTTTTCTGTCACTTCCTGTTTCACCGGAAATTACTACAACTTTTGATTTTTAAATACTTCTTCTTCTTATCACGCCCTCTCCTGCCGAAGGTTGGCGATCCTACTGATCTTTTCCCTTGCACTTTGCCCTCTATTATGAGGCGTAGTATTTCGTATCTACCACCTCTCATCACATGACCCAGGTAATGCATTTTTCTTTCCTTGATGGTGTTCGGTATCTCTTTTTGTTTCTGCATGCGCTGGAGTACTTCATCGTTAGTGATCCTTTGTACCCATGATATTCGCAGCATCTGTCTGTATAGATACATTTCGAAGGCTTCTATTCTCTTTTCGGTCTGCGAATCCAGTGTCCAGCTCTCACATCCATAGTAACACAGAGAAGACGTAGCATCTGGCCATTCGAGTTCTGAGTTCCGCACTGAGGTCTGATTTTTAAATGGCACGTTTTTTTTAAATTTATTCAATACAAAAATGACACTCTGAAAAAACGTTTAAAAAATCATATTCAAATTTTAATTTAGAGTGGCTGTGTTAAAAACAATAATTTTTGATCAAGAAGCCTTGGAAAAATAGATTTGATCATCGAAAGTTTTTCGTATCTTATCCTGGCCGGTTAGAAGATGTAATATCATCATTTTTAATCACATCTCATTTTATTCAAATGGAACGAGAGTGGCTCATTAGCATATTTGGAAAAAGCATTTTTTACGAATAATTTGTACCACGCACTTCGTATTTCGAGTCAAATTGTCGTTTTGAACCGCATGTTACAATTTCAAATAAACCATATGAGAAAATGTCAAAAATTGACATATGAAAGATATGCCATTCTATTCAGAGTGTCATTTTCTATCGAATAAAGTAAAAAATGCCGAGGCTGCCATTTAAAAATCAAAAGTTATAGTCATTTCCGGTGAAACAGGCGAAGTGACCAAAAACAAATAAATACGTCAATCAATCCTAATTTATGTCATATACTAACATAGGTACAGTACGTCTGTCCGTTCTGTAGCTACGGGGTATCCGTGAGAGGGGAAACGATATTCTCTCGATGTTTTTTGTAAAAAATAGACGACGCGTCCCATCAATAAAAATTCAACAAATTTGCAAGTAGCCAATAAAATGAGTGGGCGGAGCGATTTGCGGTGACGCACTCGTCAAATCGACGTATAAAATATATTGCTGTTTATTTAAATGTTTTTTGTCCGCATTCCTTTCATAGACACAGATCCAGCAGATGTAATGTACCAAATCTCGTTTTTTTATGTGAAAGAATAAAAAAGTTATAGGGGTGAGACACTTTTGGGACACACCGGGTATACAATATGATCGAAAAAAAAACCGCGTCAGAGATGGCTATGAAATGAAGATCGCTGTCATTTTATATGTAAAATTATATGGGATCTGGACGCGGTGTTTTTCGGTCATACGGTATTTATGTATAATTAGAATCTATTTATTCGACATTGAACTATCATGTGTTCCCATTACCATAAAATCAATCAGCCTTATAATTTAATAGAAAAATATTATTAGAGATGCATCTGTTCTATATTCGAGGACATATTATAACAGGTTATACAGGGCAGAGCCATCAAAAATATCGATCATTGAAAATAGTAACATAATTAAAAAATGGAATAATCCTTGTTTATACTTTTTACAAATTTTAAGTTTTGGGTTCGTTGAAGGACTATTAGAGCTACAATTTAAAATTATTTTTACAAGATACAGAGTGTCCCAAATAAGTAAGAAATATTATAGTTGTATTTTTTTAAATGGATAATCACACACTATATATTATCCTATTTTTGGATTCTACGATTGAAATAAAGGTAAATTTGATTACGCAACCCGGTAAGGTTTATCACACTTAAACCTTACCGGTTTGAAATATTTTCAATTTTAGGAAATTGCAGTAAAAATTTTAAGGCTGCATTTCTCCAAAGGTATCAAAGTTTTTAATACTAAACATTTACTGAAGATTATTTACTGATCAGATATTGTGTTGCAATAATAAACATTTTACTACCTTATACAGAGTGTCCAAAAATTTCTATTAAATAATTACTAGCTTTAAACGGCTATAACTTGTTAAATTTAAATGGAACACCTTATATATTTTACGTGAATCAGATGCATAATGTAATTGTCTATTAAATTGTATTATACCATTTTTACCCATCTCTTCAAGTTTTCGTAGAAAATGCGTTTCCTTATAATTTAGACCTCATTTATCAATATACCTATGGAATATTGACATTTCAATTTTTTTTATAGCACTATATATGTACAAAATATACAGGTGGTAAATATTGCAGGCCCATTGGCATATAAAATAACTATTAAAATCTTTGTAAAAGAGTATACCAATTAAATAGCCCACCATTATTTCCGACCAAAAACACCAAAAATTTTAGTTAATTACATACTTTTAAATTGTTTTAATTAATAAGCTATTCTAAATAAATATGGATTTGGCTCAGAAATCAATATAATAATAAGTTATAAAAATGAACGTCTCTGTTTTTATAAATAAGCATTCGTCAAAAAATGAAATACAATTTATAAAGTGTTACTTTTTACCACACTGTCTAATACACACACAAAATTCACTTTTTTGGATTTGGAGCAATTATTATTAATCAACGTAAACAGTCAATTAATGTAGTTTTGGTTAGTTATAATGAATACTGGGCTCATATTAATTGGTCCTCTTTAACAAAAAATATTTAAACAGTTTTTTTATTTTTTTAATTAAATAAGCGAACTATAGCAACAATATTAGTATCCGTATCCTTTTAAAATTTGTTACATCTTTAAAAATAAGCTAAAATCTCAATTCCATAGGTATAGTAATAAATGAAGTCTAAATTATAAGAAAATGCATTTTATACGAAAACTTGAAGAGATGGGTAAAAAATGGTATATTACAATTTCACAGACAATTACATTGTGCATCTGATTTACGTAAAATATATAGAGTGCTCCATTTAAATTAGACAATCTATTGCCGTTTAAAGCAAGTTATTATTTAATATAAATTTTTGGACACTCTGTATAAGGTAGTAAAATTTTAATTACTGCAACACAATATCCGATAAATAAATATCTTCAGTAAATATTTAGTATTAAAAACTTTGATACTCTTGGAGAAATGAACCCTTAAAATTTTTACTGCAATTTCATAAAATTGAAAATATCTCAAAAACGGTAAGATTTAAGTGTGATAAACCTTAATCAAATTTACCTTTAATTCAATCGTAGAATCCAAAAATAGAATAATATATAGGATGTTCCATTTAAAAAAATACAACTATAATATTTTTTACTTATTTGGGACACTCTGTATTTTGTAAAAATAATTTTAAATTGTAGCTCTAATAGTCCTTCAACGAACCCAAAACTTACGATCTAAAAAATTTGTAAAAATCTAATCGTTTAGCTACAATACTCCGTGTCGTATGTGGTGAACAACCCTGTATATTCTTCTATAATCAACAATACAAAATACAAGTCAACATCCACTGTTACTTGTGTTTATCTATGTGATCCTTGAGAAAATAATAAAATATTTTATTAGGTGTGACTATTAATAAATATAATTAAAATTTTCCTGCCAGGAAAAATTAAGGAAGCTATTAAGGAAAATATTAATGACTAATTTCTAAAATAAATAGACCTTATAAAAATACCGTATGATCGTAAAAACGGCGTCAAGTTCTCTAAAATGTCTATCCATGACAAAATAATATATAACATAAATGTTCATACATCATCATTTTATTTTGGTCCAAATGTATTTTTAGTATCTATAATACCCTTATAATACCTACCTACCTAAAGCTGTGAATATATGTAGGTATATAAAATTCTTCATCATATATTGGAAAAATGTATGTCCTAAAATGGGGTAGGCCCCCGGCTTAGTTTCGGAGATACAGGGTGTAGAAGTCTCATTTTTATTTCGATTTTTTCCAAATAATTTCTGAAGTAACGTCAATATTTTGATGAAAATTGGAATTTTTTGACATGAGAAATTTGATTTTGACTTTTACATATTTTTTTAAATGGTTTGAAGAGATTTGAAGACTAATAACTTTCGTCCGTACTTGTATAAAACTACTGAGTAAAAAAATATACAATTCCGTGACTTTTTACGTAAAAAATGTCTCTTAACTCCCAAATTTATTATTTCAGTCAAATAACTATCATAGGTAACATAATCATGTTATCTGTGTAACTATTTGGGTTCACAACGTGTTTATTTTTTATCTACAGGGTGAGTTTCCTACGATGTTCTCTATGGGTATCTCGGAAACTACTTGAGATAGAGAGTCGGTTAAATGGGGAAAGAAATGCAGTTTTGTGGGGTCATAAATATACGCCTTTCAGATTTTTGAAAAAGTTCATGGCTTACTAGATATTTCGAAAAAAACAAATTTTGGCTATTTTAAAAATTGTCCCTAATTCCATTACAATTTATTTTAGACAAAAGGTTTTCAGATAAAAGTTGTAGATAATCACATCCCTAATGAGACTGTGTTCTCCGATTTTTTCTAAAGCCTGTCATTTTTCGCATATGACACAAACATATGTTTTTTTAAATGGAAACCATAGTTGGCCATGACTTCATAAAAAGTGCCATTTTTTAAGCTGTTCAGCGATATAAGCTATAATATGTTTCTTTCACAAAATTACTGAGTTATAGCTAATTCTTATCTTTCTTGACTAATTTCATTTAGTTAGCCATGGAAACAAAAGCTCAATCGTCGTTGCTCTCAGAAATATGAAATTGTCACATTCAATCTTTGTAAATTAAAATAAACAAAAATTGTAAATAAGAGTTTTTCAAATGAAGAAAAGCGTGTAGGATGTAGGATTATTGGTTCAACTTTTCTTGGCCATACAGTTTCGAAGATACGTTGACCGCTGACCGGTGAACATTTACGTTTTTTAGAGAAAGGTTTTCAAGACATGTTAGAAAACTTAAATTTAGATACTCGCGCATTAAGAGTGTTTTCAACATGACTTTCATTATGACACACCAACCCCCCCCTCCCCACAATGAAAGAAATGTTAAAAATTATTTATATCATAATTATGTAGACTCACGGATAGAAAAAGGTGGACCAATTGCATAGGTCCCCTCGGTCACTTGACCTATCCATTTTAGATTTTTTATGCGGTATGGTTAACAACAAGGTTTACAAAAGAACTTATGAATTGAAAGAGGCACTCGAAGAAGCGGAACAGGAGAAGTTTAATTAAGTCAACCGGTCGTTCTGTGAGAATAGCTAAAAATTCAGTTTTAAAGAGATGCAATTTACTCAAAACAATTGCGGATTTTTTGAAAATTTTCTAAAATAACTTATAGTGATATTATTTTTTTAAGTTTTAGTTTGTTTAATGCAAATTGTAAAGAGCCGTTTAATAATATATTTTATCTTTTTATAAGTAATAAATCATAACAAAATTAGAACACCATTGAAAACCGTTCTCTAAAAAACGTAAGTAACTTTCACTGGTCAACGTATTGTTGCGGACCGGTGTGGACTCGACCTAACCTAGCTATATGGCCCGCCTCGGATGACCTTAACATCGCATTAAAGAATAGACACCGTAATGATTCATTCGAAGATTCGAGAAGAATCGAGTTTCACTAGAATGGAGTAGTACATACCAGAACAATCGAAACCTTCTCTATGCACCTAACGATCTATGGACTATTCTAGAGATCTTTAGCTGTCGGTATAAAAGCCATGTATAAAAGCGGCTGTGGCCTAGAGAGGGCAGTTATAAATAAACGAGTGCAGTTGACGCGCTAAAATTCAAAAATAAATTCTTATCTAGTTATAAATCGTTTGTAAATAGTTCTTTAAGTCTTTTATCGTTATTGTTTTTGTTAATTAGTTTTAAATAAATTGTGACTTTCTAGCCACACGGAACCGACGAAAAACGTAACAGTGTCCTCGAAACTGTATAGCCAAGAAAAGTTAAACCAATAATCCAACACGCTTTCCTTCATTTGAAATTTTATTTACATTTTTAGTTTATTTTAATTTAAAAAGATTGGATGTGACAATTTCACATTTCTGAGAGCAACACAATTGAACTTGTTTCCATGGCTAACCAAGTGAAATTAGTCAAGAAAGATAAGAATTGGCTATAACTCAGTAATTTTGTGAAAGAAACATATTATAGCTTATATCACTGAAAAGCTTAAAAAATGGCGCTTTTTATGAAGTCATGGCCAACTATGGTTTCCATTAAAAAAAAACATATGTTTGTGTAATAAGTCAAAAATGACAGGCTTTAGAAAAAATCGGAGAACACAAACTCATTAGGAATGTGATTATCTACAACTTTTATCTGAACACTTTTTGTCTAAAATAGATTATAATGGAATTAGGGACAATTTTTAAAATAGCCGAAATTTGTATTTTTCGAAATATCTAGTAAGCCATGAACTTTTTCAAAAATCTGAAAGGCGCATATTTATGACCCCACAAAACTGCAATTCTTTCCCCATTTAACCGACTCTCTATCTCCAGTAGTTCCCGAGATCCCCATAGAGAACATCGTAGGAAACTCACCCTGTAGATAAAAAATAAACACGTTGTGAACCCAAATAGTTACACGGATAAAATGATTATGTTATCTATGATAGTTATTTGACTGAAATAATAAATTTGGGAAATTTTTATTTTTTTAAATTCATCATAAATCTTTCTAAGAAAAAATAATGACGAAATTGTTTAATCATCATTTTCAAAATTATGATTTCAGTCTAGTAACTATTTAGTCAACATGTTTCTGTCAATGATGAGAGGTATTGATAAGTTCGATTCCAAATATCTCGAGAACCATTACGAGTAGCGATTTTTACCGAGAGACCTTTTTTTGTGTAAAAAACATCTTAAATGAATATTTTTTTACTCAGTTTTATACAGGTATGGATGGAAAGTTATAATCTGAATACTGGCCTTCAAACCAGTTCTTGTTCAGGAGATGCAAGACCTTGTCGTTGGTGGGGAAGCTCCTTGTCAGGTGCTGGCAGAATCTCCTCTAGCACTTTGGCTCGGTCCAAGAAGCATCTCACTCATTGTCTTGTCTCTGGCTGTAGTGGCCAGGGAATTGCACCAAGACATTTAAACCAGGCACCTTCTACTGTCTGTGGGCATGTCTCGCGGGTAGAGGGGTGTGGGGGGTCTTAGCTTAACCGCCTGGACCAAGAGGAGACAACCTCACCAAAACCTAAATCCTACGATGGCGGGGCCAGGTCAAAGGGATGCGTGGCTAGATAGAGGACTAGCCATTACTGGTCTCAACCTTGGGGCATCAGGGGCACCCCATTGTATTTACCCCTTACTTCTACATGCGGGGCTCTGTAGAAGTGGACTGACTATCCCTAGCGACTCGTGGGAACACTATGAGATCCAGAAATAACAGTAAAAACACCATCGGAGAAGCTGTGGGGAAACCCCCTAGCGACACTGGGAACAGGAACAATGAAAGTTCCAAGGGGTCAAACCCCCCAAAGAAAACTACAGGAGAGGTGGCTGACACTTGCGCGAGACCGTCCTGCGCTAGTAGCACTCAAGCTACCACCTCCTTTAACAAGGGTCGGGAGCTTACCTCTAAACCCAACATCCTTTCTTCCTCCCCCCCCCCCATGCATGGGATATCCCAAATAAACCTGCACCATGCAAAAGGGTCTTCCGCTACAATAGCAAGACTCTTTGAGAAAAATCATTATGCAATGGTACTAGCCCAGGAACCCTGGGTGTATCAGGGACAAATTAGAGGTTTGTCTGGAAAAAATTCAAAGGTAATATATGATAAATATAATGTTATGATAGATACTATATGATAGATATCTAAAAATTCTAAAAAAAAAAGTAGGAGCTATACTGTAGGCTACAAGTAGGAGCCATATTAACATCAAAATCAAATTTCCCATGTCAAAAAAACTTCCAGACCTCTAATTTTCATCCAAATATTAACTATAGGTACAAAAACTAACCAAACCAAAATCGAAATAAAAATTTAATGTCTACACCCTGTATCTCAGAAACTAAGTATTTTTGAACATACATTTATACGAACTTTTTTACTTATTTTTATCTGCAAAATAAGCTGCCGAAGTTTCCGGAATACAGTTCGGACCACCCTGTATATTTATTATTTTATGACAATTTTAATACCAACATTTTATTGAAAACCTACAACAAATTCTTAGTTTACCCTACATAATATTATTACATGTTTTGAATAAAATTAGAACGGCACTGATGAACCAGAATTTTGATATGTGCTCCTTTCTTAATCTTTTTATTCAAAGTTTGAGACATATTAAACACTAAAAAATATTTTTTCAGGCCTTCTATTTCAACAGGGACGACGTAGCCTTACAAGGCCACTACAAATACTTCAAAGAAGCCTCCGAAGAGGAGAGGGAGCACGCCTACAAACTGATGGAGTACATGAACAAGAGAGGAGGCAGGATCATTCTTACCGAGATCTCAGCCCCAAATAAACAAGAATGGGGCACGTCCATAGAGGCCATGCACGCCGCCTTAGAACTGGAGAAAACAGTAAACGAAGTAAGAAAAAATATATCACTGCAGTTTATTCAAAGCCAAGATGCAATAAACATTACCAAATCTTATGTTTCTTTAAATGGGATACCCTGCATATTATATTTTTATTTTATTTACCTTCTTATGAGTAAAAAAAAGACAGAGCGACGAGCGATTCGCTTGATTTAGTTTATTTCAAACCATTGTCGATATAGGTCGTAAAATTTTGTCACTCAGATACGCAACGGATAAATATATATTTATCCGTATATATATACGGCGTCCTATAAATTTGCTACCTGCAATGTATGTAGAAAATTCGCTCGGCTTTTTATCGAGTATGTCACATTAAAATCGGATTTCAATTTATTTCATTCTAGGATCGCTTTCGTCGCTCGTAACTCGTCACTTGCATCGCTCGTTCATAATCGAGCGATGTCGGTTACTTCAATAACCGAGTACCTACTCGAGCGAGTTTTCGCTCGAGTTATCCCATCACTGCACTAGTTTAAATTGGGACTCTGAACGCGCATTTCGTTACAACTAAGGGTGTCTTTATAGGTTGCGGTTAACCTTCATGTGTGCCCGAAATGTATAAAATATGTAATAAAGTAATTTTTGTTAGTTTGTATTTAATTTACGTATCTTTTCAACTTATAGAGCCTACTAAACCTGCATAGCGTTGCCTCGGGCCATATGGACGTGAATTTGTGCGACTTTTTGGAGACCAACTACCTTCAGGAGCAAGTGGACGCCATCAAGGAAATCGCAGACCACGTGACCAACCTGAAAAGAGTCGGTGAAGGTCTGGGTGTGTATCTGTTCGACCAAAAACTCACAGAGTCTTAATTTTGGTTGACGCAGAAATAATTCTACGCCTATTCTATGAGAAAAACAAATAAATTATCGTTCAATTACTATATATTTAGGAAACCACTTAAACACTTACATCATTTACGCTTAAATATGTACTTGTAACCAGCTAAAATATTATTCAACATATGCTAAAATTGTTAGGACCGACGAAACTATTAATGGGCTAAGTGTTTTTTATTGTGATATATTTAATATTTTGTCAAGTATACAGGGTCCTGTAACAGTGCGTCAGGCACCTGTAGCTCTTATAATAAAAAAACTTAGGAATTTTGTTTAGATATACACACCTAAAATATGTACCAGAATTTATTTTAGGTTCAAAAGAGTGTAAGTGGATCGGGATTTTTTTTTAAATGGCACACCCTGTATATTATTGCATTTTTGGTTTCTTTTCTGATCACTTTCCATAATCCTCAAAACAAATAAAAAAAATTATTTGTTTTGTTAGTTTCAAAGATTAATATATATTATTATTTTTTCTACAAACGTCAGTAAAAATGTAATTTTTAACGCATGCTGTCAGTGCCTAAAATGTGACATTATGTCAAGGATGGTAAAAGTCATTTACTTTTAGCACTGGTGCTAAAAGTAAGTCACGTGATTTACTTTTAACACTGAAGCGATAACAATTACCCTAGCAACCATAAACTTCATAATTAATTTGATTTCAGAATGACATATTATTATGAATTATTCATTAACGTAAAAAGTAATAATACCTTGATATATACGAGCATAAACTTGTTTGTAGAAAAAATAGTGTATGATATGTGTGCTAAAAGTGATTTTATTTCGGCGTCGTGTCCCAAGCTTCCCTTCTCACAAAATAAAATTCCCTCTTTTAGCACATACCATAAATAACTATTTCAGCATTTGTTAAAAAATATTAAAAATATAAGAAATGTCCTAAAATCAAAACTATACAAGGTATTTATTGTATTTAGTTTGTATTTACTTTGGAATAAATATAGTAATGCTAAATCATACAGGGTGTTCAAAAATCCAAGTCAAACTTTCCAAAATATAAAATACAACATAATTTTTCTTTGTATTTTCTTTAAAGGGAACATTCTCTGTATATTTTTTTATAGATTCAGGATTAAAAAATTAGTATTTGTTGAATTTAAAGTATGTATTTCAAAATGTTTAACGGTTTCGCAAATATTCGCGGTATTATATTACATATGGCTCTTTCAACTGTAAATTTTTATCATAGCTACCTAATGATTTTTGTCTGGTATTTTTACTCTTGAAAAATCCTTACCCTTTAAGAATTTTAAAATACTTCGGCAAGGAATATTCATTTCTTAATTCTACATCTAACAAAAAAAAATTAAAATACAGGATGTCCCATTAAAAAAAAGATTTTTTTATGTTTTAAAAAGTGTGGCATAGAATTTTGAACACCCTGAACACTGCGATGTATATAATAAAATTTAATAATATCTTAGGACGACGTAAAGTGATTAAACAGGAAGCTAAAAATGAATTTATATACAGGGTGCTCCATTGAAAATATCATCTCAATCCACTCACACGTAGAAGTTAAAATATTTTCCTGAAATAGATCCTAGTACACATTTTTGGTACAGACTTAAAGAAAATGTTTTAAGTTCATTTTTATAGGACCTACAGATGCCGGACGCACTCTTGATGTGATCTAAATTCTAAATCAGCTACTTTAGTTAGTATTTAATAATAATAATAAATAATGTCTTTTTAAAAAATGTGTCTTCTTTATTCCACTGCATACAAGTATCTACAATATTGTTACGGATTCCGTGGGTCCACTAATTTAAACTCACGATAAAATACTTAACGAATTTATTTTCTCACTTTATACACAATTACTAACTTATAACACACAACAAACTAACTATTTATAAGATTCCTTCACCAAATTGTCCGATTTTCAATTTCCACGCGGTATATTCAAATTTCAAAAACTTTCTTCAGACTGCAAACTTCAAACTTCAAAACTTGTCCAACTGTCAAAGCGCGGGCCTTATATACCCCCTGGCGGTTGTTTCTAGATTTTTCTAAAGAATTCTATAATTTTCTTTACTTTCTGGCGAATACGCCAGGCACGCCGCGAGTTTTTAGCAGTATGCAGTTATGCAACCAGTAATACACCTTGACATTGCCCCCTTCTCAAATTTGATCGTCCCGATCAAGGTTTCCTGTCTGGTATCTCTTCAATCGATCCAGATGAACTACTTTCATCTTACTTCTAGGGCTGCGTTGAATCCGGTACACAACATCATTTATCCTCTTGATGACTGTATAAGGACCTTCCCATGCTGGAGTTAACTTTGGGGACCTCCCTTTCTTGCGCTGTGGGTTATATAACCATACCATATCGTCCTGTTGAAATCCCGTAGAATTAGCTCTGAGGTCGTAACGAGCTTTCATCCGGTCACTGGCTAGCGTAATCTTACTTCTCACGGCCTTATGAATTCCCAATAACCTTTCCTTCAGTTCATCCGCGTAGTCCTCTACGTTCGTGGTGCTGTCGTCTGGTGATCCGAACACCAAGTCACAAGGCAACCGTAATTCTCGACCAAATAAAATCTTCGATGGTGAAAGTCCGGTGGTGTTGTGAACTGCACTTCTATATGCCATTAGGAATAGTGGTATATGCTGATCCCAATCTCTTTGATGTTCATCCACCATTTTCGAGAGATGTTCTTCAATGGTCTTATTGAATCTCTCGACCATCCCATCAGACTGCGGATGTAAAGCTGTTGTCCTAGTCTTGTGAATACCAAGCAGATCACACATCTTCTGGAACAGTCTTGACTCGAAGTTCCTTCCTTGGTCAGTGTGAAGCTCTAAAGGAATTCCAAATCTACTGAAGACATTATGACTAATACTTCAGCTACAGTCGATGCTTCTTGGTTTGGAATGGCAAAAACTTCTGGCCATTTACTGAAATAATCCATCGCCACTAAAACGTACTTGTTGCCCTTGTGCGTTTCAGGGAATGGGCCTGCAATGTCAACAGCGATTCTTTCGAATGGCAGTCCAACGTTATATTGTTTCATTTTTCCCCTAGATCGAGTGCTTGGTCCTTGGCTGGCTGCACAAATTTTACATTGTCGACACCATTTCTTGACATCTTCGCAATAATCCACCCAGTAAAAGCGATCTCTCAGCTTGCTCAAGGTCTTGTTTACCCCAAGATGGGCTCCAGTTTTACCACCGTGAATTTCTTCCAATACCTGGGTAACTTTCTTCCTTGGTACCAGTAACTGAGTTGTTACTGTGCTGCCATCCGCACTTTCCCATGTGCGCTTTAACAATCCATTCTCAATAACCAGTGAATTCCACTGAGCCCAGAGAGCTTTGAAAACGAGCCCTCTGTCCGCAATATCCTGCCACGGTGGTCTCTCGCCGTTACCTTCCTTGAGCCGTAGTATTGCTCCGATGTCTGGATCTTCCATTTGATCTTTCCTCAATTGTGTCGTCGTCCACTGTTCATCGGTTCCAAGTTTAAAACTCCTTATCATGACAGTGCCTTCACGTTGTTCCGTTTTACAGCAGTGCTTACAATCGGTTTGACAGGGTCTTCTGGATAAACCGTCTGCGTTACCATGCATTTTTCCAGCACGATGTTGGATGGTAAAGTGATACTGTTGGAGCTTCTCGAGCCATCGTGCTATTTGACCTTCAGGTTGTTTCATCTCCATAAGCCACTTGAGAGCCGCATGATCTGTCCTAATTAAAAATTCTTGGCCATACAGATATTTATGGAAATGATCAACTGCTTTTACAATTGCTAGCAGCTCCTTCCGGGTAACGCAGTAATTCCTTTCTGGTTTAGATAGAACTCGACTGTAATATTCTATCACTCGTTCTTCGCCATCTTGCACTTCACAATCGGTGTTCCATTCGTAGCCGACTTCATCACCTGTAAGTCTATGTAAGGGTGCAGCTATATTGGCAAATCCCTTGACAAATCTTCTGTAATAGGTGCATAAACCCAGAAAACTTCTAAGTTCATGTTTGTCGCGAGGTTTAGGCCAATCCTTGATTGCAGCGATTTACTTCTGGTCGGTGTAAATTCCGTCTGCTGAGACTACATGGCCCAAAAATTCCACTTGTCGCTGGAATAAGCTACACTTCTTCGGGTTCAAGTACAGGTGAGCATTCCGTATGCGGCCGAAGACTTCTTCTAAATTTCGCAAATGCTCCTCAAAAGTTCTTCCCATAACCAATACATCGTCGAGGTAAACCAAGCACGTTTTCCAAGTTAATCCTCTTAACACCACCTCCATGAGACGTTCGAAAGTGGCTGGAGCATTGCATAATCCAAACGGCATGACCTTGAATTGGTATAGTCCGTTTCCTGTAGAAAAAGCCGTCTTTTCTTTGTCTTCCTCGTCCAGACCAACTTGCCAGTATCCACTCTTTAAGTCGAGAGTGGAGAACCAGCACGAACCTGCCAGAGTGGTTAACGTGTCGTCTATACGTGGCAGTGGGTAGCTGTCCTTCTTAGTGACGTCATTGAGCTTCCGATAGTCCACGCAGAATCGTGTACTACCATCTTTCTTCGTCACCAAAACAACAGGAGATGACCATGGACTCGATGATTCTTCGATAACTCCATCTTCTAGCATCTTATCTACCATTGTCTCCATTTCTTGTTGTTTGGAAAGGGGCACCCTTCTAAGACGTTGTCGAATCGGCTGAGCATGACCAGTATTAATCCGGTGCTTCACAAAATCCGTTCTTCCACTGTTGTTCTTTTCAAAAATACTGCCATGCCTAAACAGGAACTCCTTAGCCTTCTGTTTCTCCTCAGATGTTAGATGATCCCATGGCTGCTCTAGATGTTTTAGTGTTTCTTTGGATGCCATTTGTGTAACAGCTGACGGCACTTCATCACATCGGGTGACACTTCTTACAGGTTCGCAGATGGCTATCTTGTCACCTTTTTGAATCTTGACACAATTCGGGAAAACATTCGCAACTCTGATCGGTATATTCTTGTCGGTGTTCACCAATGATTTTCCTACTAAGTACCTATCTTGTTTCTTGTTGACACTTTGTACCAGTCCAACACAGCACCCAGCGATTTTCTCCACTTTACCGAATACGATCTTCTCGGTATTACCAGGTATCACCACAGTTTCCGCTGATCTTACATCCATTCTTCCTGGTCCCTCGTCTGGAGATAACATAAACTCTTCATTTCTGATATTCAGGATATTTCTCTGGTGATCGAACGAAAATCCATGTTGACGAATCACATCCATGCCCAAGATGAAGTCATCTTCAATATCTGCCACTAAAACGCTATGCTAGAACTTCAAATTTCTAACTTCAGTTCGACGATAGCCTCCCCCGTACAACGGCCATTTCCCCGTAACTGTACGTAAACACACTCTTCTTCTCAGAGGCATCAGCTTCAATCCTTGCACTGAGTTAGCCCGCACCAACGATACCATAGCGCCAGTGTCCACTGTCATTCGGATTCCCTTTCCATTGACTTTCCCGTCGATCACCAAGCTGTCAGCGGTTCTTCCTAGACTTCTAATGGAAAAAATCCTGGGGGCTCTGTTCTCCCCAGTCAATACTTGCCCCTTAGTATTGACTGATTTTAGTTTTCCTGGTGCCTACGTTCTCTGGATGGTGAACGGGATCGCATTTGAACGCGGCAATCCCGTTTGATGTGGCCATTCCTGCTACATCTATAGCACCTTATGTCCTGGGATCTTCTCTGGTTCTCTGTCTGGTTATTGTTGCCTCCCTTGTTTATTAGTAGCTCACATAGTTTGTCGAATTTTCTACACATCTCCTCCAAACTTCTGTGGGTACTCTCGGGCTGTTCCTCTACCGTTACCGATCTTATCTTCGGTCTAGGGATGGCGCTAAAAGCAGCTTCGATTTCCAGCGCCCTGACCAGTGCTTCGCTGCTGGTAGAAAATCGGGATATTTGCAGCGCCCTCTGTAATTCGTTGTCCCTCAGTCCGCTGATAAAGCAGCGAGTTCCTCCCTAAATCCTTCCGGTGCTTCAGGATACGCTAGGTGTACCAGCCGACGTAAGTCTGCTTCAAATTCCTGCAGACTCTCTCCGGACCTCTGCAGGCGTGTCTTGATCTGGGCCTGGTAAAGTTGGCGTCGATGTTGGTCGCCATATCTTCTGTCCAGTGCAGCGACCAAAGTTTGGTATTCCTGCTGTTGGGCTGCAGGAATAGTTTGCAACAGTTCCAGGGCAGGGCCACGCAGCGCGATGACAAGTGCCGCTGCTTTCTCCTGGTCAGTCCATCCGTTGGCAGCGGCGGCTGCTTCAAACTGACGGTGGTACATTGTCCATGTCGTTTGTCCATCGTAGGTCGGGGCCTTAAGGTTCGCTGTTCCTTGAACGCCAGGTGTCTTTACTTGTACCTTGGTCTTCTGTAGGCCCATCTCCAATCTTTCTATCTTCTGCTGAAGGCGTTCCTCAAGATCTTCTACGGTTTCTTGAAGTTGATTTTCCTGCCGTTTTCCAGGTCTTCAAAATTCTTCTGAAGTCGAAATTCCTGATTTTCCAAAGTTTTCTTAAGACGGTCCTGATCTTCTTGTCTTTCTTTCTGGCGGCGCGTTTCTATATCTTCTAAAATTTCCCTCCATTCATTCTTCTGACGAATTTCTAAATTGCCTAAAATTTTCTCAAGCCGGTCCTGTTCTTCTTCTTTGTCTTGTTATCGTTGAATTTGAAAATCTTGAAAAATTTTTTCAAGCCGGTCCTGTTCTTCCTGTTTATCTTGTTGTTGTTGGAATTTCAAATCTCCGAAAATTTTCTCAAGCCGGTCCTGTTCTTCTTGTTTTTCTTTCTTTTGACGCGCTTCTAAACCTTCTAAGATTTTTTCTTGATTTTCCATAAGTATTTTCAAAAGGTGGCATTGTTCCTCTTCTTTCTCTCTTTCTAATCGGGCTCGCTCTTCTTCTCGTTCTTTACGTAGCCTTTCTTGTTCTTCTGCCTTCTCTCTTCTCATATTTTCCATAAAATCGCCCAATAATTTGCTTACTTCCTCCATTTTCTTCGCTTGCTCCCTTGTACCAACCATAAAAATACTCTAATTCGGTCTAAAAATCTTCCAATCCACTTAATTTCTTCTTAAAATCCTCTTGAATCGCACTTCCGACACCAATTGTTACGGATTCCGTGGGTCCACTAATTTAAACTCACGATAAAATACTTAACGAATTTATTTTCTCACTTTATACACAATTACTAACTTATAACACACAACAAACTAACTATTTATAAGATTCCTTCACCAAATTGTCCGATTTTCAATTTCCACGCGGTATATTCAAATTTCAAAAACTTTCTTCAGACTGCAAACTTCAAACTTCAAAACTTGTCCAACTGTCAAAGCGCGGGCCTTATATACCCCCTGGCGGTTGTTTCTAGATTTTTCTAAAGAATTCTATAATTTTCTTTACTTTCTGGCGAATGCGCCAGGCACGCCGCGACTTTTTAGCAGTATGCAGTTATGCAACCAGTAATACACCTTGACAATATGATAGCAATGAAATGAAAATCGCAATTATTTTATATGTAAAATTAGTAATAACTAGTAATAACAGAAAACTGAAATGGGCTATTGACACCTTTCAGCCTTATAAAACAGCAGGAATAGATGGGATTTTTCCTACCCTTCTAAAGAAGGGTGAGCAAATAGCTACACACCATCTATTAAACATTACAAGAAGCAGCTTAGCGATGGGATATATACCAACCATCTGGAGAAGAGCGAAAGTAATCTTCATACCCAAAATAGGCAAAACTGACTGGACTAACCCCAAATCGTTTAGGCCTATTAGTCTCACATCGTTCATATTAAAAACGATGGAGAAAGTAGTGGACAACCATATTAGAGTAAATCATCTAAAGGTGAAACCACTGCACGATAGTCAACATGCATATAGAGCGAGCAGATCCACAGAAACTGCTCTGTACCAGTTAACTGAGCTAATACAGGCAAGCCTGGATAGCAAAGAAACAGCACTATGTGCCTTCTTGGACATTGCAGGGGCGTTTGACAATATACCTCACAGGGTGGTCAAGCGATCTCTTGAAACAAGAGGGGTGAACAATACGATAATTCGCTGGTTTTGGGAAATGCTCTCAACACGAACAGCAGAAGCTGAGATAGGTACCAAAACTGTGGTTGTTAAAACAACGCAAGGAACTCCACATGGTGGAGTGACCTCCCCCCTACTGTGGAGCTTGGTAGTGAATGAACTACTGGAAGAATTAACTCTAGCGGGAATACACTGCATAGGGTATGCAGATGACATAGTCATGATTGCACGGGGGAAACATGAAGGCACCCTGTGTGATATTATCCAAAGAGGACTCCGCATCACTGAGAGATGGTGCAGGACTGTCGGGCTGAGTATCAACTCAGATAAAACCGCGGTAGTGCCATTCACCAGAAAGCGAAGTTTGAAAAACTTGAAAAGAATCCATCTAGATGGAAAGGAAATACTGCCATCACAGGAAGTGATAAGTAGGAATAACCCTGGATAGTAAACTTCTCTGGAACAGGCATATTAAGAACATTACCAGCAAAGCCACAAAGGCTCTCATGATATGCAGAAGACTGGCGGGAAATAGGAAACCCCAAAAATTTTGCGCCGGATGTATACCATGATAGTAAGACCCATGATTACATATGGAACAGTTGCTTGGTATACAAAACTAGAGCAACGTACAGCAAGGCAAAACCTGTGCAAAGTACAGAGACTGGCATGTATCTGTATCACAGGTGCCATGAGAACATGTCCAACAGCAGCAATGGAGGTCATTTTAGACCTAACACCACTGCATATTGTCGTCGGTAGTTATGCCAATACCACAATGATTAGAATGGTCATAGACGGGAACAGTACTGGGAGAATTTTTAGGTCAGGGGCTTGGAACACCCTCAAAAAGAAAATTCCACTTCTCCAACTCCCAGTGGATGACATACCAAGAATTTACAACTTTGAGAAACACCTCACTGTAGTATTGAGTAATAAAAAGGATTGGAAGGAAGAAACGCTTACTCAGCATAAATTAAAATTACCATAGGTATAGATATTTTTTATAAAGACTGTACAAAAAAGGTTCCAAAACAATGGCGGTTTTAGTGTTTTTAATTTGGCAAGTAAATTTATTTACTATCATTTTTAGACGTTGTCTGTCAAAATCTTACCAAGTCAATGTTACTTATCAATATACTTAATTCTTTTATTTAAAAGATATTTGCAAGCATAAAAAATAAAACAGCAATACATATTTTTATTTTTTTTTATTTATAGATATGATCTTGTTTTTCTTCGGGGAGATCTCTAAGGTACATCGAATTTTTCTTAGAAACAAATGAGTCGAAAAGATGCTTATCGAAAAGATGTTCTCCGATTTTGTCGGTAGCCATTTTTGACCTGGTCAATAGTCTGGCCATGGAACAAATTGATTCATTCTAGAAATAAATAAAATAAGGATACTCATTCAAATTTACAGAATGCCCATTACTTCTGTAGTAATAAATTGTCAAATAACTAATACGAGCATGTTTAAAATCTTTTGTTTCCCTGAACCAACATTTCAGTATCTAGACGTCTTTTAGATTTGTCTGTTTTAAATCTGTTCGTTACATTACAGACGTCCAGATAATAATCTATGAAATAATCGATACTTTTTAAGGTTCAACACCCCGTATATTTAAAAACGAACTACTATCCGGTGTTAATATGATTTTTTAATATTGTTGCGGACCCGTGTGGACTCGGCCTAACCTAACTAATATGTCCCGCCCCCATATGATCTTAATATCGCATTAAAGAATAGACACCGTAATGATTCATTCGAACGTTCGAGAACAATCGAGTTCCACTGGAATGGAGGAGTACATACGAGAACATTCTAAACCTTCTCTATGCACCTAATGATCTAACGGATTATTCGAGAACTGTTTAGCTGAGGGTATATAAGCCGACGCCTGGGGCTTGAGGAGGACAGAAACAAATAGACACGTACAGTTGCCGCACTAAATTCAAAATAAATTCCTTCTAGATAAATAGTTATAGACGCCTTAGATTGAGACGCAATTGAATTTTTAATCGAACATCTCTCAATTATTCCAATGTTTTAAATGAAAATCAGGCGGCTTAACCGCCCCAAGAGAGCCCTCTTTTTGTGGTTGACTGATCAGCGATGCTTCACGGTGGAGTTTTCAATGCATCCCACAAGCCAATTTTTTGTTAATGTAGTTTTTTATGATGGTCTTTTTTACCACGTTGAGTAAGTTTTTTCTTCTTGACTTTTATAGCAATTGTATAACATGTATTTCCATTTCAGTGTCCTGAGGAAGGAATGAATAAATTCCGAAAGCTTGACAATTAACAAAGTGTATTAATTCCATTTCAAACCCTTCCGACTGCAACCCCACTAGTTCCTAGATTTTCTTTCTCACTAGTCAGTCGATACTACTGTCTGCTAAATAGTTATAAATAGTTTGTAAATAGTTCTTTAAGTCTTTTATCGTTATTATTTTGTTACTTAGTGTAAAATAAATTATGTTTAAATAAATTAGACTTTCTATCCACACGGAACCGACGAAAAACGTAACAATATGTTTTCTATCGACTAGTCTCAAAATCCTGCTATTAAAAAATAGATCACACCGTATATTGTGGTTAGTACCTGTTCATGCAGAAATCCGCTAGATATAAAATCAACAAGCTGATGATCTCTGTGTTTCTCGGACAATTCAACCAATTCTTCAAGCTTCTAAAGAAATAAAAACATTTTTCAATGATTGCTTTAAGTGATTTAGTCAAATTTACCTCTTTAACTGAGCTTTCCATTTCCACAGCTGTGGCAAATGCTTTGGACAAATCCTTCCACTCTTCTTTGCTCTCAACCGATATATTGTTTATTTCTGGATGGCCACCTCTCATTAAAATGTAATTAATAAAAATTAGAGCGTGTTCATGTTCTTCTCTGAAATAGTTCGGTGAGCCAAAGAAAATACAGGATTATTCACACAACACCGTTCATGAAAAGCATTTTAGAATATATTTTATACTTATACAGATTTACGGTGAAATAATAATACTTTTGAATACTAATACATATTTTACGTTTTTTTAATTCTTCATGAGATTTTAAGCACACTTTATATACAGGGGATCTCTTACATGTTTATAGAAATACAGAGGGACATATATTATAGGAATGGTTTTTCATATTTTTTTATGAGAATCACCCTCCGAAATTTACCTGAGCATTTTTAAAATACCCTGAATATTGATGTTTTTGCGTTTTTAGGTTCCGTACCCACAGGGTAAAAACGGGAACCCTATTACCATTACTGAGACTTCGCTGTCTGTTCGTCCGTCCCTCTGTCACAAAGGTCTATCTTAAGAACCATTATAGCTAGACACTTGAAATTTTCACAGATGTATCTTGTTGCCGCTATAAGAACAAATACTAAAAACAGAATTAAATAAATGTTTATAAATAAAAAAGTACTTTCACTAAACATTATCTTTTAAGTGAGAATTTTACATAGAATCTTTCAAGTCCTCGGTGGCCGCGTGGTTTAAAGCGTTAGGACTTTACGTTGCTATGACGTTGGAGCCGTAGTAAGGCAGGTTCGAATCCTAGTCAAGGCGACTTTTTTAATCGTTTTTTTTTTAATTTTAATATATTTGTTTTTATTTATTTTTACTTTTTACATATTTATTATTGATTAATAAAATTTTTAGTAATGTGTTTCTTCATTTTAAATTACTTATACGCGCATTCAAAATTTCAGCTAAATCGGAAAAAAGTTTATAATAATATAGTGTCTATATGTTGTATAGATAATGAATGGTACGGAACCCTTCGTGCGCGAGTCCGACTCGCACTTGACCAATTTTTTATATATTTATGTTGCTCTTTGGAAAGGATTCTAAAAGACAAGCAAAGACAATGTTTGTATCCAAATTAAATACTCTTCATGAACGGAGAGTATAAAAAAACATTTATAATACAGGGTGTCCCAGAAATCAATACATATATTTAAACTGGTAGTATATTTCGGCCCCCGAAACACGCCTATGAGGTTTTTTGCGAAAAAAGTTTTAAAAATTTTATATTTTTCTTGACATTTTCAGGGAAATTAAAATAAAACTTTTTAGCGCCACTTGTTTATTCACCTGAGGCGTCGAAAAACCTCCTGAAAACCCCTTAATAGCTGGTTATCGCCAGCGGTTCTCAAAATGTTACCATTATTTTTTTAATTTTTAAAATAACTCGGTTATTATCAATTTATTTTAAAAATGGTAAAGACAAAATATGTTTCTTTTAACCAGATCTACCACCCCTTAAAATATCTGCACTTATTTCTGGGACACCCTGTATAATTAATTGATATTTATTTACTCATGCATAGCCATGAAAAACCCCTGACAACCTGGCAGTGCAACTTCAGTTCTGCCAAAGTAAGCCGCCATTGCTAGATAACTAAACGAAGCATTCAGTTCTATGATAACTTGTTCGTTTAATGCTGTTTCGATATCTTTATGAAATTTATGCCGACCTAAAAATCATACAAAAATATAATTAGTTTAATCCAAATATCCAGAGTATCTGTAAGACTGATGGAATAAATAAATAAACCATCAAAATTTTCCAAAAATAAAACATTTCATCTAATTAATTTGGAAAGACCTTTAAATGTACAGAAATAGTATTATGCTTGTATAATATTTTTTTTCTGGAATACGAATTTTACAGCAAATCCAATGAACAGAAGGTATAGGCTTGGTGCATTTCAGTTGATTTATTTTAGTGATGGGAAAAACCGATTAATTTCAATAATCGAGTACTCGAGTTTCAAGCGATTGCAATAACCGAGTGATCACTCGAGCGAAATATCACTCGTATTTAAAAATACGGTTTTTCACCCGTCGCTTGTTGTAAGTACTCGTTAACGCCAAGCGCCAAGCAGTATGTTAACTGCGCAGTGTTGAATGGCAAGTAGCAAGCGGCGAGCGATTCGCTTGATTTAGTTTATTTCAAAGCATTGCCGATGTAGGTCGTAAAATTTTGTACGTCAGATACACAACGGATAAATATATATATATATATATATATATATATATATATATATATATATATATATATATATATATATATATATATATATATATATATATATATATATATATATATATATATATATATATATATATATATCGTATATATATACGGCATCGTATAAATTTGCTACCTGCAATGTATGTAGAAAATTCGCTCGGCTTTTTATCGAGTATGTCACATTAAAATCGGATTTCAATTTATTTCATTCTAGGATCGCTTGCGTTCGTCGCTTGGTACTCGTCACTTGCATCGCTCGTTCATAATCGAGCGATGTCGGTTATTTCAATAATCGAGTATTCGAGCGAATTTTCGCTCGAGTTATCCCATCACTAATATGGGTATTTCGCCACTGTAAGAAAATCTACAAAATAAAATAGTTATTTTTTGTAAACACTGCTGCATTAATCCAACGGAGGCTAATTGTCAGCAGTGGCTTTACTTAACAAATTTGCCTAACGGACAAAAAATGCTTAACGTTGCGCAAAGTATAAAGTGTTCTCGAATAGCTGCATTTGGATATTTTAAATAGTTTTTTTCTTTGTTCTCCGATTTTTTTGCTTCCGACGACGGAAATATATATATATATATATATATACTTCCCGAAACATTAAGCATTTTTTTTAAATAACTTTTTTATTTTTTAGATTTTCTTACAGTGTAAAAATACCCATAGGACTTTTTTGAAGAATTGGAATTAATACCTAACACAGAGAATTTGTAATAAGGCTTTTTCAAAATACTAGTTCACTCTATTGTATGTTTCAATTTTTCCTGTATTATTATTAAGTCTAAAAATACTAATAAAATTTATGATGATCTACAGTACGTCTGTCCGTTCTGTAGCTACGGGGTATCCGTGAGAGGGGAAACAATATGCTCTCGATGTTTTTCGTAAAAAAATAGACGACGCGTTCCATCAATAAAAATTCAAGAAATTTGCAAGTAGCCAATAAAATGAGTGGGCGGAGCGATTTGCGGTGACGCACTCGTCAAATCGACGTATAAAATATATTGCTGTTTATTTAAATGTTTTTTGTCCGCATTCCTTTCATAGACACAGATCCAGCAGATGTACTGTACATATATAAAATAATAATGTTTATCTGTGTCGTCTCTACTGAAGTAACGACTTGCTCTACAAAGTTGCTTTTTTTACTAAAATAAAGCTAATTGGCTCTTCTAAAATCTGTCGTCGCCGGATTTTTTGTTTTTCATTTAACTAAAGAAAATAAAAGGTTTTTTTCCTGATGTGGCGGATGCGCCAGGCTTCAACTAGTAATAGAATAATTTCTTTAATTAATTTAAAAAAATAAAATTTCCTAAAACTTACCTGGGTGCGTTTTATCTTGGTTTTTTTTATCTCCATTGTTTGAGCATTTTTGATAAACCAAATTTTCGTAGGTACTAACGTTACACAAAGAACCAGAAAACAGATATAAATGTGCCAGGTTAAGTTGAAATAAAGCAGGATTTGATCGAATGTTTTGAAATAAATTTCTTGGAATTTTCTTAGAAATACAATTTAAATTTTCAGACTTTCTTATTGCTTTTGTATGAATACTAGCTTTTCTGGATAAATAAATGCGTAATAGACTCAATATTCGTCTAGAAATAACGTTCAACGACATAATTTAAAAAAAATAAATTTGAAAAATATTTAAATCTTCGACAGAAAATACATTTTAACCTCCTTTCATTGACAGTTGTCAATAAAAATCATTTTTTATACAGGGGTGGACAAATATTTGTTATACAGGGTCCGGCAACAGTGCGTTGGGCATCTGTAGCTCCTAGAATAAAAAAAATTCTCCTAGAAGTTATTCTATATTGTTATTTATTTATTTTTATGAACCTTAACTTTTATACAGGGTATACCGGGTGTAAAAAACGGTTTGACTGGGTCCAGTCCAAAAGGATAGTTTTCTCGTTATAATTCGGTTTTCATATATTCTTTTGATGATGATAATGTTAATTAATAATGAATTTATACCCCCCAATCCAAGAATCATACTTCTTCAGCTAATGGTAAACTGCTGATGGACATATTCCATCCAGTTAAAAAGGACCCAGTCCAGGAAAGTTTTCTCGTTATAATTGTGTTTTAATATATTGTTTTGATGTTAATAACGTTATTTAATAATGAATTTATACCCTCCAATCCAAGAATCACACTTCTTCAGCCAATGGTAAACTGCTGATCGACATATGCCATCCAGGTCAAAAGGACCCAGTCCAGGAAAGTTTTCTCGTTATAATTCGGTTTTAATATATCCTTTTGATGATAATAATGATATTTAATAATGAATTTATACCACCCCCCCACCCAACCAAAACTGCTGATGGACATCTGCCATCCACTTCAAAAGGACCCAGTCCAGGAAAGTTTACTCGTTTTAATTGGGTTTAAATATATTCCGTTGATGATAATAATGTTATTTAATAATGAATTTATACCCTCCAATCCAAGAATCATACTTCTTCAGCTAATGGTAAACTGCTGATGGACATACGCCATCCAGTTCAAAATGACCCAGTCCAGAAAAGTTTTCTCGTTATAATTCAATTTTAATATATTCTTTTGATGATAATAACGATATTTAATAATTAATTTATATCCTCCAATCCAAGAATCCTACTTCTTTAGCTAATGGTAAACTGCTGATGGGACACATGCCATCCAGTTCAAAATGACCCACTCCAGGAAAGTTTTCTCGTTATAATTCGGTTTTAGTATATTCTTTTGATGATAATGATATTTAATAATGAATTTATACCCCCCAACCAAAAAATCATACTTCTTCAGCTAATGGTAAACTGCTGATGGACGTACGCCGCCATCCAGTTCAAAATGACCCTGTCCAGGAAAGTTTTCTCGTTATAATTCAATTTTAATATATTCTTTTGATGATAATAACGATATTTAATAATGAATTTATATCCTCCAATCCAAGAATCATACTTCTTCAGCTAATGGTAAACTACAGTTGGACATATGCCATCCAGTTAAAAAGACCCAATCCCGCAAAGTTTACTCGTTATAATTGGTTTAAATATATTCTTTTGATGATACTAATGTTATTTAATAATGAATTTATACCATCCAATCCAAGAATCATACTTCTTCAGCTAATGGTAAACTACTGATGGACATATGCCATCAAGGTTAAAAGGACCCAGTCCAGGAAAGTTTTCTCGTTATAATTCGGTTTTAGTATATCTTTTGATGATAATAATGATATTTAATATTGAATTTATACCCCTCAACCAAAGAATCATACTTCTTCAGCTAATGGTAAACTCCTGATGGACATGCGCCATCCAGTTCAAAATGACCCAGTCCAGGAAAGTTTTCTCGTTATAATTCGATTTTAATATATTCTTTTGATGATTAATATATTCTTTTGATGTTAGTAATGTTATTTAATAATGAATTTATACCCTCCAATCCAAGAAACATACTTCTTCAGCTAATGGTAAACTGCTGATGGACATATGCCATCCAGTTCAAAAGGACCCAGTCCAGGAAAGTTTTCTCGTTATAATTCGGTTTTAATATATTCTTTTCATGTTAATAATGTTATTTAATAATGAATTTATACCCTCCAATCCAAGAATCATACTTCTTCAGCTAATGGTAAACTGCTGATGGACATACGCCATCCAGTTCAAAGGGACCCAGTCCAGAAATGTTTTCTCGTTATAATTCGGATTTAATATATTCTTCTGATGTTAATAATGTTACTTAATAATGAATTTATACCCTCCAATCCAAGAATCATACTTCTTCAGCTAATGGTAAACTGCTGATGGACATATGCCATCCAAGTCCAAAGGACCCAGTCCAGGAAAGTTTTCTCGTTATAATTCTGTTTTAATATATTCTTTTGATGTTAATAATGTTATTTAATAATAAATTTATACCCTCCAATCCAAGAAACATACTTCTTCAGCTAATGGCATACTGCTGATGGACATGCGCCATCCAGTTCAAAAGTACCCAGTCCAGGAAAGCTTTCTCGTTATAATTCGGTTTTAATATATTCTTTTGATGTTAATAATGTTATTTAATAATGAATTTATACCCTCCAATCCAAGAATCATACTTCTTCAGCTAATGGTAATCTGCCGATGGACATACGCCATGCAGTTCAAAAGGACCCAGTCCAGGAAAGTTTTCTCGTTATAATTTGGTTTTAATATATTCTTTTGATGATAAAAATATTATTTAATAATGAATTTATACCTCCCAATCCAAGAATCATACTTCTTCAGCTAATGGTAAACTGCAGTTGGACATATGCCATCCAGTTAAAAAGACCCAATCCAGGAAAGTTTACTCGTTATAATTGGGTTTAAATATATTCTTTTGATGATACTAATGTTATTTAATAATGAATTTATACCATCCAATCCAAGAATCATACTTCTTCAGCTAAT